ACTGGCAGACAACAGCCATATCTGGGACTCCAGCAACCTGGCTCACACTGGTAGCCCCGCCCTGGTGATTCCCTGAGGCCCTGCCCCACCCAATGTTCAGGCCCACCCAAGCTGTTCCCAGTGACTTAATTATAGAATTGGCCTGTTTTGGCTCCTGCTTCAGATTTCCCTAAATTCTCTCAAACAAGCAGCATCTGACCACAGAGAGCCCCCATACCTCTCGCTAAGTGGCCCCAGGCCCGGCACTAGAAGCTGCCAGTCTTGGTTCACAACTTGGCTTTGCCTGGGCACCTCCAAGCGTAGCACAAGAAGCAGCCATCAGCAGATCACTTTGTAGCTTATGCCTGGTGGCCCCGGGTAGAACACAGGCAGTGGCTGACCTTGCCCCAGAGCCAGCACACCCAGTGGACAGCTTCAGACCACAGTGAAGCACCACCACAAGTGTTTGGACTCAAGGGGTACAAGAGTCCTGCTGAAGTAAATCTTGCTCTGTGTGGTGGGCACCTGCACAGCTGATCATCCAAGGTAGTCGGAGGTTGGTGGTTAGTGGGCACAGCCAGTCCTTGCAGTTGGTCAGCCTAAGTAAAACCCTCCCATTGATGTGCCAACGGCAATCAAGACTCAATTATGACAGAAGGGTGTAAAGTCCAAACGAGAGGTGCACCTCGAGGGCACAGCTGGGGTGATCAGGGAAGCTGTGCCACTGGACCCTATAGGACACCTATTGCAATAGGCCACCCTAGGAAGCCTAGGAGACATAGCAACTCTACCGAAACAAACACAGGGAGGCAGCCAAATGGAGGAGACAAAGAAACATGTCCCAAATGAAAGAACAGAAGAAAACTCCCAAGAAAAGAATGAAATGAAATGGAGATAAGTAATCTAACAGATGCAGAGTTCAAAACACTGGTTATAAGGATGCTCAATGAACTTAGTGAGGGCCTCAAGAGCATAATAAAAGACCAGTCAGAAATGAAAGATGCACTAAGTGAAATAAAGAATAATTTACAGGGAATCAATAGTAGAGTATGTGAAGCCAAGAAGCAAACAATTGATTTGGAATATAAGGAAGCAAAAAACACCCAACCAGAACAGCAAAAAGAAAAAAATGTTTAAAGATGAGCATAGTAAAAGGAGCCTGTGGGACAACTTTAAGAATACCAACATTCGCATCATGGGAGTGCCAGAAGGAGAAGAGAAAGGACAAGAAATTGAAAACCTATGTGAAAAAAATGACAGAAAACTTCCTTAATTTGGTGAAGGAAACAGACACACAAGTCCAGGAAGTACAGAGAGTCGCAAACAAGATGAACCCAAAGAGGTCCACACCAAGACACATCATCATCAAAATGCAAAAGGTTAAAGACAAAGAGAATTTTAAAAACAGCAAGAGAAAAGCAGTTAGTTAACTACAACGAAGCTCCCATAAGGCTGTCAGCCAATTTCTCAAAAGAAACTTTATAGGGCAGGAGGGAGTGGCAAGAAATATTTAAAGTGATGAAAAGCAAGGACCTATAACCAAGATTACTCTATCCTGCAAAGCAATCATTTAGAATTGATGACCATATAAAGAGCTTCCCAGACAAGAAAAAGTTAAAGAAGTTCATCACCACCAACCAGTATTATATGAAATGTTGACGGGTCTTCTTGAAGGAGTAGAAGAACAAAAATATGAACAATAAAATGGCAATAAATACTTATCTATCATCAATTGAATCTACAAACAAAATGAGCAAGCAGAAACAAAATGAGCAAGCAGAACAGAAACAGACTCATAGATACAGAGATGTTTTTTGTTGTTTGCCAGATGGGAGGGGAGTTGGATGAAAAAGATAAAGGGATTAAGAAGTACAAATTGGTTCTTAGACTGATGAGCCTCAAAGTGAAGGGGGGAGGTGGGGTGGGAAGAGAGAAACCAAAGGACTTATATGCATCTATGCATAACCAATGGACAGACAATAGTGTGGGGAAAGCAGGAGGGGGTGAGATTAGGGAGGAGGGGGTCCAGGGGGGAAAAAAGAGGGACATCTGTAATACATTCAACAATAAAGATAAGTTTAAAAAAAAAACGCCACACAAAGCAATCTATCTGAAAAAAAATTGCTAATCATTGGATATCAGTGCCAGTGCTTCTTCTCTTTTGGAATAAAAATCCTAAAGCCAGAAGCAAGATGTAAGGCTGGACTATGAGCTTCGGTCCTCTCCCGGGGTCTTAGGATCACCACCACAGACACATGGAACCTCATGCTCGCCGTCACACGGCTGGTGCACCATGGGACAGTGGCCAACAGCTGTAGTTGGCAGACCCTCAAGCCAACATCAGCCCAGAAGAAAATCAATGGGTTTCTGATCAGAAGCTTGCTTAGTGCAGGCCCTAGGAAAATGACTTTAAATGGGAAGTCATAACTAAACACAGCAAATCGAGGTCTAGAATTTGGACCATCCAAATGGTATGCAAGGATTTGTGATGTATGATATGTGCATTCCTCTGAGAAGAAGGGTCCCTGACCCTGAAAAAGCTTACGTGTCACAATGCCAAAAAGTCACAGGGGCCCTGGCCGGTTTGGCTCAGCGGTTAGAGCGTCAGCTGCGGTCCAGAGAGACCCAGGTTCAGCTGCCGCTAAGGACACGTACCTCAGTTGCAGTTTGTCCTCGGCCCCAGTTGGGGTCGTGTGGGTGGCAACCAGTCGATGTGTCTCTCTAGCATTGATGTTTCTCCCTCTCTCCCTCCCACTCTATCTGAAGATGAATGCAAGAATGTCCTTGGGTAAGGGGGAAAAAAAAGTCACATGGAGGGCAGGTCACTGTAATGAAACAGTAACTATGAACTGATGTAACACTACTCACCTTCTCTGAGTGCTAATGCGCCAATGAAGTGATCTGCTGGAAAAGAGCAAAGGCCCCAAATCTGATCCAGAAAAGCATGAGACACATGGTCTGGCGCTGATATGCGAAATGTGGCTCTAATATAATAACAGCAGTATGACGCTAACATTCGTGTTTACTCCAGATGGCTACTGACAACTTGTAGAAGCAATGAGAACATTCTAAAACTAGAAAATCAGCTGGTCTCAAAATATGACGTTTTAAAAACTTTTGCTTAAGTCTGTTTTTCTTTGTCGTGAATCCTTAAGCAAAATTCTTCTACTCTACGCAGCTACCAGGGTTGGAAAACATCCAGCCCGACCCTGGAGCCAAAGGCCCTCGAAATCAATACCAGCTCACATCACACACCTCACCAAATTAGCCTGTCCAAATATAGCAGGATAATTTAAGTTGATAATTGTATGGCCCGAGAATGATGTTATAAACCCAAATGGCCCTTGGCAGAGAAAAGGTTCCCCACCCCTGGTACACCTTCCTGGATGTCACATGGCTCATCTCATTCTGAAACTAAATCACCGGGTAAGAAATCTATCTACAAAGCTCATTATGACATATTTTCATTTTGCAATGTTTCCCTTCAGCTGCCTATTTGTACTAATGTTAAGTGACAGTGACATTTCTCCTCCAAAGAAGCACACCTGGAATGACACACTGCTGGAGTGACGGCGTTTGCAATGTGGGAGCTGTGCCTTTCCCACTGAACCATGGGTTTCTGGGGCACCCAGGAGCATGTGGGGGTCACCGGAGAGACGAGGCCATTTTCCTACAATGCCAATCTGACTTGACAGCATGTCATTCAACATGACTTTAAAACTATAGCAAACAAATGTCTGCAGTAATTTTTAAGATTTATAAACATGAGACCAAAAACCAGCAACAATAGCCACAAAACATGAGACCTCAAAGCCATTCTGAGCTTGTGATAGGGTCACTGATGATTAAGAAATACTAACAGAAGGTACTGTGGGGACAGGGGGAGAAGCATTTTAAAACAAAACAAAACAACAAAAACACCATGTGGCCTGAAGGATCAAAACACAAAATGGTCACATAAGCTGAGCATTTCTACAAGTCCACCACATTGAGGGCCTCGAACACTTCGGCCACTCAGCGACCCTGGGAGTCAGGTGCTGCACCACCCCATTTCACAGAGAAGGTAATGGAAGCACAGAGCCTTGCCCAGAATGACCCAGCTCCAAGAGGTGCTGCAGGGATCCAAACCCTGGCAGATGGGCCCTGGAGCCCACCCTCTCAATTACTGCCACACTGACCAGCGGAGGTGGCTTCAACCACAATCTTTCTAGTTCTCACAGGAAGCTGTACTCCCATCTGCCATGGGTCCTGAGGTCACATCCACAACCTTACAGAGATTTTTATATGACTCTTTCTTAGAGCTACTTAAAACTAATATAATACACAGTACACCTTGAAAGAAATAAAGAAATCAGCATTGCCCTGGCCGGTTTTGCTCAGCGGTTAGAGCATCAGCCCGCGGATCAGAGAGTCACGGGTTTGATTCCAGTCAAGGGCATGTACCTCGGTTGCGGTTCAATCCCCAGCCCTAGCTGGGGTCCTGTGGGAGGCACCAATCAATGTCTCTCTCACATTGATGTTTTTCTCTCTCTCTCCCTCCCTCACTCCCACTCTATCTGAAGATAAATAGAAAAATATCCTCAGATGATTAAAAAAACAATCTACATTATAATTTGGTAAACTAATTGTATTTTAGTACCAATATATATGAAGAACCACAAATGGACTTTCATTTTCTTGGAAAATTTATATGCAGAGCACTGTGTTGAATTACATTTTATAGTGTTTAAATTTTCATTGTATCCGTTGTTTTCAGACAAACTCAGTGACTTTCATAACTTGGGAACAACTGCTGTTTATATTAACACTGGACACTGATGAAGTCAGATATGGTAAAACCCTATTTCAGTGATAATTCTGTGAAAATGGAAACAATGGACTAGAACACCTTATACATGTAATGTAAAAAAGCAAACTCTTGAAGCGTACCTTCTGAGGTGTCCAATGGAACATTTGTGGGATCAGTTTTCCTTTCTCCCTGACCCTGTCACACAGACAGGTAGAGAGCAGCCGTGGCTCACCTGGATGACCTTGTAGAAGTAGGCATACTGCCGAGCTGTGTTCTTGTACTGGCTGAAGACATCATGGACAGCCTGTGTGGACTGTAGAAACCGAACTTCATCTTCCTCAAAGTAGAGAGGAGTGTCATACTCGCTGGGGAGGGTCTGAATGTAGGGCTGCCAGAAAGAGTCAGGGTCAGCTCGCTCACACAGCAGGTGAAAAGCCAGTGTGATGTTTCCCATGGCTTGAAGAATTCGGTCTTGAGAGTACAAGGGCCCTGAAGTAACCCAGAAGTTAACAGCGTTAAGTTCCACACTCCTTTAAAAAGCATTCATTAATATTATTAAATTTTGGAAATATTGAAACAGCCTGTAATGTTTAGAGTAATGTGCATCTCTGTCAACATTTGTCTACTATGTCAGATTGTAAGCATGCAAAACACCTAATGTGATTTTTAAGAGAAAGTTCACTAGTTGAGAAAACAACCAAATAGGGCCCTAGCTCCACAAAAGGAAATTGTATACATTTCTATCATTTTCACTTTGCTTGGAACAATCAGAAATTATTCTCACCCAAAACTGAATTTTTAGCAGACTCAACAGTCATTAGTAATTTCCGTGGAACCCATAAAAATAACTCTTCTGCCTAGGAGGAAAAAGGAAGAAGACAGAATCATGAAAACAACACATTACAGTCTCCACTCCAACCACGTCTACGGGCAGCAACCCCACCACATGTGAAGGGCAGTTTAAGGGTGCATATCGGCACCACATTTCTAATGGCCCAATGCCTCTTAAATGTAGGCACTTATGGTGTCGTTAAAGGGGTGGAAGCTGCTTTAAAATCCTGACTCCAGTAGAAAAACTATATGTACCGAGAAGACAAACAACCAAAGGAGACTTTCGACTTTCATTTGAAACAAATGTAACAACTTGGGGTAAAACACAAAGGTATTTCTTTTATTCTTAAGTGCTAAAAACAAAATTTCTAGCTCCAGCAAAAAAATCGACTCTATCCATGTGAACTAGAACATCTTATAATGTTTGAAGCTGGAGTAACAGTCCCTCCTCTACATACCTGTCTTTAAAATATGCAAAAGCATAAGCCCACGAGACACACATTTTGGCAGTGAGACACTTTTTTTTAAGTATGTCCTGTATGTGTATTTATGTAGTTCCTTCACCATGGTGATGGTATCATGGGTGTGTGCAGATGTTTAAACTCACCAAATGTATGTATTAAACATGTGCAATTTTTTACATATCAATTATACCTCAATAAAGCTTTAAAAAGCCCAGCCGGTGTGGCTCAGTGGTTGAGTGTCGACCCATGCACCAAGAGGTCGATTCCCGGTCAGGGCACATGCCCAGGTTGTGGGCGAAATCCCGTCAAGGGGCATGCTGGAGGCAACCAATTGATGATCTCTCTCATCAATGTTTCTCTCCCTCTCCGTTCCTCTCTAAAAATCAATAAAGAAAAAAAATTTTTTAAAAAGGTGATTTTATAAAAAAATAAGTAAAGCTTAAAAAAATCCCTGCACTTAGTGAAGACAGACCACAGCTAAAGTATTTTGGGCAGCATCCACACTAATGATGTTATTTGTGGGCTACAAGAGAAGAATGTGTGCCATCTTGTTTACTCTGGCCATTTACCAACATCCATCTACTATCTGAATAATGTTTACATGGGCCTTGTTCCTTACTATAGACTTTAAGCATCATAAAGGAAGAAACCTGGTTTTTTGGGGAAGCCTGGTATAATGACAAGCAAGATACACTGACATACTGGATTATTTCATAAATATCTAATAAACCAAAGTATGGTTCATCAATGTATCAGGGGAAGGTTAACTACAACCTGGCCAAAAGTGTTGCTGGAAGTTTGAAGGGGCCTAATAATAACATTCATTTCCTCTACCAAGTTCTGAACCAACTGACAGACACACGAGACTCCAACAGAGGTCACCAAAACATCATTTACTGTTTCCCAGAATTAACCGGACCTCCCACCTAGTTACCTAGTTACCGGCAGAACTGGAGCCCCAGAGGCCTTCCCATGTGTGGTTGGCCCTGGAAAACTTAAGAGGGTGGAGAGAGCACAGCACAGTGAATGCATGGGAGCAGCAGTTCTCACCAAGAAAAAGGCCAACCCCAGTTCCTTCTCCCAAATCATCAGAGTATTTCTAGGAGAGGCAGGAGCGAGAGGCTCCCTATATAGGGAAGGAAGGGCCAAGAGTAGAAGAAAAAGCCTTCGGCCCTCAGCAGATACATATTTCTCCCCTTCCTATCAGGTCTGGTTTGCTGTTTCAGTGAGTGGTACCTCCAACCTCTCAGTTATCCATTCCAGAAAACTGGTAAGCATCCTCTACACTGCCTGTCCCCGACCCCTGCCCCCATCCACATCCAATCAACCACAGGGCCTCATGGGCTCTGCCCGAAAACCACCTGAGCCCACATCCTTCCCTATATTTCAGTCTCAGAATCCCGTGAGGCATGTTGTATGGTCTCCTAACAGAGGCTCAGAAATGTGAGCTGACTTGCCCCCAGCTGCTGGTTATTAGCACAGCTCCCAAGGAGGACAAGCAGCAAGGGGCTGCCTGGAACACGGGGTCAGCGAGGGGTCCACTGCGCAGGAGAGGCAGTGTTGGCAACACCCTGCCCCCCACCCCCACCCATAAGGCTAGGAATAAGCCCAAGGCATCTGTCTCCATGTCCTGTGTCCTCTACATGACACAATCCAGACACATTCAGACACCCCCCCCGACCATAAGTTTTTTATAAACTCACCTTGATATCTCTTGTTGCTCTCAAACCAAAGCCCTCTTCTTTGAAATTAACCATTTCAAAACCCTCAACCGAAGCTCCATTTTCAGAGGCCCATTTCATTAGATTAGGAAAGTAATCTTCTCTTTTTCCATCAAAAGTAACAGACAGACCTGTATCAATCCATGTTTTACAAAATAAGAGCTACTTTTAGGACATATATCATTCATGCTACTCTCAGAAAATAAAAAAACAGAACGTAACTAACACGAGAAATAGTAGTAACACTCCAATCTTGAAACAAAATCAAAGCTCATGACCTGACCGTCACAGTACGTAGTGACAGAAAAGGTGAATGAAAATCCTTAACTCCCTGTGTGTTACATATTTATGGATCCCAAGTAATATGAATATCGACTGCTGGTAACAAGACAGGAAAGGGGGAGAGCCTTCGTAACTACTGCAGATTCACAGAGCAGCTCTCCAGTAAGTCAGCATGCTATCTCTCTCATTACACATTTGCTTTACCAAAATTCCCATGAAAACAAAACTCAGTAGCTCTCACATGCGTACAAGACAGTGGGTGTGCCCTGTCTGAGTGGCTTGGTTGGAGGAGCATCATCCCATACACCAAAAGGTTGAGGGTTCCATCTCAGGTTAGGGCAGGTACGGGAGGCAATGGATCGATGTTTGCCTCTCACATTGATGTTTCTCTCTCTCTCAAAATTAGTAAACATATCCTCGGGCAAGGTTAAAAATAAATAAATAAATAAATAAATAAATAAATAACATGTGTAAGGATGAGCCCTGATCCTAAGAGCACAAAACTGGAGAGTTCTGCAACAGAATTCTACAGAGCAATTTAAATGAGCTAGATCTATGTGTATCAATACAAGTAAAACCCAAAACATAACACTATATTTTTAAAAATCAAGTAGTACACCACTCATGTAAATTTTAAAAATTCCATTTACTATCAGATATTGTTATGGGGTTACAGATGAAGTAGAAAAACATTCACAGTAAACACAACAACCTCTAGGAGGAGGGCCGGGGACGGGATAGAAGCCTGGGCTTCAGCTAGCTATATGTATAACATTTATTTCTTAAAAACAAATACAAATAAAATAAACAATGGGAGGGAAGAAAAGGGACCAGTAGACGGGAGAGAAGGAAAGCAGAATTTGAACATGTGAGGCTTTGGCATGTACTCGATTTGGGTAGTAGATTCTCGGGGGTTGCTATATTATTTTCTGGATTTTTCAGCTTGAAATACTTTTCAGCTTGATACTCTGTTTAAAATATTCAGGCCCGACTGGTGTGGCTCAGTGGCTGAGCATCAACCCATACACCGAGAAGTTGCCGGTTCAATTCCCGGCCAGGGCACATGTCCGGATTATGGGCCTGATCCCCAGTGGGAGCATGCAGGAGGCGGCCAGTCAATGTTCTCTCTCATCGACATTTCTCTCTCTCTCTCCCTCTCCCTTCCCCTCCCTCTAAAATCAATAAATAAATAAAAAAAATTTTTTTTTTAATATTCAGAAAGATGAAACACCATGCATAGGGAAAACCATTATTTTTTTGATAAATAAAGGGAGAGGACAAGAACTTGATCAACATGAACTGGGCATGGAAGCCAGCCCAGGTGCCTGTGGCCATGTCACCACCATGTAGTTAAAGGTCAACTAGATGTGTGGAGCGGGATAGCCTGGCATGGAGTTGTGCCCGGTTATATATGCAGATCCTTGCTAAATGAAGAAAACTGATTTTGTCAGGGAAAATCTAAGACTTAGAACAAATGAGCGCTCTAACTTTGGTGTCAGTTGTAGCCAATGGTCTCTACTCAGAAGACATGCAGGATATACAAAAGTTTTCAGCCACATTTCTGGTCAGCCAGGATTAGCAGAATCTACATTTGGTATAGATAAATATCTTCTAAAGGGGCCTGTTGCCATGTGGGGTTTGAGACCATCTAACCCAAAGGCTGCATGTTTTAGGGGGAGCAATCAAGCTACTGCTTCAGAGAGCAATTAAACAAACCCTCTTCTGACTCACTTTCACGACAACAAATAAACAGGGAGCCCAAGAAAGTTGTTCTCATCCTTTTAAATGCAGGCTGCGTATTATGCTTTCTCCTTCCACCTCCCATGTGGCCCTGAATACCAATCTTACTTTCTGTGCTTTACAGAACAAAAACAATAGGAATATTGAATAGGCTTTTCAACTGACACTTGGCCCCATCGCCAGCCTGGCTGAGAGTCATCCGATGTCTCCTGACTATATCCTGTAAAAACACAGCTTGGGAAATAGACCCACATCTCCTGTTTAATCAAAACATGATTGAGTTAATCATAAATCGTTATAAACATCAACAATCAGTATATACTCGTGTGTTGATGATACAGACTGACCTCAAACCCTGAAGGAAGCCCATTATGGAAAAGTAGATTTAAATATGTATTTCATAAAGTAAAGATAAATGAAAGTTGTGTCATTTTAGCCCGCAGAAACAAACATTTTTCTCCCTAAAGCTCACCAGCTTTCCCCTCCCAAAGGTGATAGCATCGCAGAAATTAGAGGCTCCTCAGAGTCCTGTCTCTCCCAGTCTAGCAGCCCCTCCCTGTACAATGACCTTGACCTTGACTACTCTTCAACACCTTTCTGACTTATGCCAAGTCTCTACACAATTTTCTTAAAATACAATAATCGTTCCAGAAAATGTACCTTTTTGCTTTTTCCGTATTTTCTCCACTAGAGACCGGATCTGCACGTATTCTTCCCACTCTTTCCCTGGACCGGGTGCAGGACTACTGCATTCTGCAACACAAAAGCCATGGTCTCAACATTTCTTTCAGCTTAACCTGTGGTCTTCAGAAGAAAGAGGATTTGGGTTGTTGTTGATTTATTTGTAAAGGACAAAGGTATGACAGCTGTGATGATAAACATGAGAAGCATAAATCAGGTATACTTTTCGAAGCATGTAAACCCTCTGACACTCTCAGATGCCACCTATTCAACCGTGACTCCAGTACCTAAGTGTGAGCACCTGGCTTACATCTACCTCATTCTTGCTGCTGATACATTTTCCTCAGAATATACTTGTGAACAGGAAAATCTAAAAAGCTACATTAAAAATGCAAAATATTGCCCTGAAAACTCTTCTGGATGGTAAAAGAAGGTAATATTAAAAGTCAACATTCCTTTCTAGTTAAGCCCCATAACAATGGCTCCCTAAGAGAACATTAAATTGGACATAAGGACAATTAGTCAACAAACATTTCATATCCATGTGTAAGGCACTATATTAAGCACTCTGGGGGAGTCTTAAAAAGAGGCGACATAGTCATTGCTAAAACCGAAGCTGAAATTCCACCAAAGGACCAGAAGTGAAGGACCAACACCCAAGACCCAGGCCAGTGTTTTAGAAGGCTGTGCACTGGGTACCCACCCACCCAGCCTGCCAGCAGCTCCTTCCTTTTTAAACAACTGTATCAGTTTAAGAAAGAGCCCTTCCCATGCTCCTGCTAAACCTCTTGGCCCCCTCTGTTCTCCCAGGAAAGGAGCGTATGTGATTAGTAATTAACAATAACCAGCTATATGCTGACTCATAACCATTAAGGTTGACTAGCGTTATTCATTCCTCCATCACCAAACTCTGGCTGAGGCCCTGGACTTCAGGACAGAGCCTGTCCTCAAGCTGCCTCCAGTCCCGTGGGGGAGAGTTGGTAAGCGGTCAGACCATCAGTGCTCTGTGGAGGGCCCACATCACTCTTGGGCAGGAAGGGGATAGAAGGGTCCATGGCAGCACTCAGGGAGTGACCCGGCCCAGACTTAGTTGCTGCCTGCTTGTCAGGGAGAGAAAGCTAAATTTTTATTTGGGTTTTAGCCTGTCACATAATCTAAACATATGAGGCAAAGAAAATGAGACAAATGTAGTTAGTTAATAGAGTGACCACCGCCCTGGCTGGTGTGGCTCAATGGGTATAGCATCGGCCCGTGTACCAAAGGGTCTCAGGTTCGATTCCCGATCAAGGACACGTGCTTGGGTTTCAGGTTCCATCCCCAGCCCTGGTTGGGCATGTGCAGGAGGCAACCAATTGATGTGTGTCTCTCGCACACTGACATTTCTCTCTCTCTTTCTCTCTCCCCCTCATGCCCCCACTCCCTCCCTTCCACTTTCTCTAAAAACATCAATGCAAAAAATATCCTTGGGTGAAGATTAACAACAAAATTTTTTTTAAAAAAGTGACCACAGCCCTGGCCGGTTTGGCTCAGCAGTTAGAGCGTCGGCCTGCGGTCCAGAGAGACCCGGGTTCGGTTCCTGCTAAGGGCATGTACCTCAGTTGCAGTTTGTCCCCAGCCCTGGTTGGGTCATGCGTGTGGCAGCCACTCGATGTGTCCCTTTCACGTCGATGTTTCTCTCTCTCTCTCCTCCTCCCACTCTATCTGAACAAAATACTGAAAAATGTCCTCGGGTGAGGATTAAAAAAAAAAAAGTGACCACAGCTAAATTTGAACATATATAGCACCAATTAAAAAAAAAGTTACCAGTTTATACTAACTCACTAAAACAAGATATTTAATTTCTTGAACCAAAAACTCAGGACTTTCCCATGTGAAAACTGGGAAACTGCTGAACATAAAGGGGAGCACCTCGTAAGGAAGCACCCCAAAGGCTTGCTGTCCGAGAGGCATGCTGTGCCCGCCTTGGGCCTGACAGCCCATAACCCACCTTCTTCACATGCCCCAGCGCCCATGGGCCTCATTACACTCCCCAGGTGGTCTCTATTACGGATGAACACTGAAACTCAGAAGGGTTAAGGAGTGGTCCGAAGCCATACTGTTAAAAAGCAGCTGAGACTGTCCCTGCCCACCAGTGCCCAGGAAAGGCCTAGAAGCCTGTGTTGTAGAAGCTTCACATTCAGTACTTCATCCAGGCCTCGCTATAGTTACACGGCCCCACAGGTAGCAGCAGCTCCATTTCACAGGTGGAGATGCAGGGGAGAGAGAGAGATCTGTAACTTGCCCCGGTCACATGGCTAACTGCATGCTTCACGGGACAGCAATGCTCCCACGCAGCACTGAGGATGCAGGAGCACAAATGCACACACCCCACGAAAGAGCAGGAAGGCCAAGCGCACAACTTACTCTGCAAGAGCTCACTAGTCAGGTTCAAGGTTTCCTTCGGTGACACACTTGCTGTAGCACCAGTGCCTGATTTTTGTGTTTTTACTCGACTCTTCTTACCCATTTTCTGACTATAGGGAAGAGAAAGAAAAGACAAAGAGAAAACATTACATTTCCAAAGAACAAAGTCAAGAAGTAAAATGTGGCACAGCAGTGGCTAGCCTTACGATGCTCAGATCTCATCTTACCTCCCATGGGCCATATCCTGAAGTTTCCTTCCAGGAAAAAAAAAAAAGTGTGCAATGAATGTTAGTATTTGGAGGCTCTCAAATGAAAAAAGAAAATCTGCTTAGGAATCTCTGGAAGAAAAGGTCACTCCTTTTTACCTACAAAAACTATAGTAAAGAGAATTTTACTCTAGGATTTTTTTCAAATTACAGAGATGTTATTACGTGTACAAAAAAGTTTATTCCGTAATACTACAAATCATCATCTAGGCACAAAACCAATACACCTGTAGTCTCTCACCCCTATGCTTTAAAGAGAATCACTTCTCTGGACATTTTAAACTCAAAGCACCTTCAAAGAGGCTAACCTAATCCTTTCCTTTTGTTTCACAGAAAATTCAAAGTGCCCTGCACAGAGTTTCAGACCATAAACTTGAATGAGGCACTGTATGGTCTAACATATAAGAAATGGCCAGACTCCCGCAAGCAGATGAGTGTTCAGGACGTCAGGAAGCAACAAAGCAGGAATAAGTCCGTTCCCGATAGGCACTTATGACGAGGGCCACAAGCATCTGCATGGTGCTCTGCGCTGGTCAGACACGCCCCACCCACGACCTACCTCCCTGTGTCCTTGCCACACACGCGAGGCCAGTGGTAGTGACAGCTGTGTCAGGGGGCTTAGACTCAGCTATTGCTGGCCAAGAACCAAGCAGCGGACCCACGGCTTCCAAACTGAAATCCTGTACCGGTCCAGCACCTAGGCGCCTCTAGACCCAGGTGTACTGGCTGAAACAAGCTCTCCTGGTCTACGTGTGGGGACCATGTTAGCTGCAGCAAAAGACAACCAAACAAGGGAAGACCAAACCTGTGCCCTGAGGGATGAGGAGGTGGGGAAGCAAGACTCACAGCAGGGAGAATTCCTTGAATTCATAAGGAGAGTAATTAAACAGAGAGGAACAAGGAAGGAAAATTACACTTTCAGAGTAAGTTTGAGAAGGTGTTAGAATCCAGTATGAAACATTTCCTAAATTCAACTAGTGCAGGAGAAATAAGACAAAGTGCATTTAGGGACTTTGACTGATGGCAGGGTGGAGTGAGTGTACTGGATGCTTACCCCATTTTTACAAAGTATAGTTCACACATACTGAACAGACTGAGATGGAATTCAGCTGCATGTTTTGTGTGGTTTTTTTTCCCAAAAAAAATTCTAAATGAAAAAGATGCATATTTGTATTTTTCCTTAGTTGCTTTCAACTAAATGCAACTAGAATAAACATTTTTGATTACTCTTATTTGGCAATTTATCCGGGAAACCTTAGCTCAATCCCAGCATCTGTTTTTCAATGCACCCAACTTTACAGCTGGCTTAACTGAAGGAGAGAATGGCCCCATGGCCGCGCCTACCTCAGGCACCCAGCTGTAAAACGTACTTGAAGGCAGTGTGAGAGTCTGCCTAATCTTTGTGTAGGAAGAAAAGAATCTCGCTAAAATACTTTGCAGGCCATTAGGATCAGATTACTGCACTCTGAATTAAAAGCACAAATTATAGGATGACCGTTTAGGAAAATGAAAGCACTCCCAGATTGAAAAGTATTTGTGATGTTTTCTTTTCTCCTATGGGAACTGATAAGGCATCTTTACGTTGCACTGTACCATGTTAAGTAAGCTAGAGTGTGCTGAAAACGTGTTCTCACTTTGCACGGAGGTAGGAGCTAGCAGGAGGGTCAAGCCACACTAATTTACACCAGTTTAAGCGGCTAGCCAGCACCCATCATTCTAATCTCTACCAAAGGAGGTCCTGACGCGCCACACTCAGAAGTACCAAGTCAAGGCAAACAGGTGGAATTAATTTCAACTCAGGAGCTACTTAAATACAAAGATGAATGTAAACCTATAAACCGCATGTAAGTACAATTTATATCTTCATACAGAACAATTTGGGCTTCCATATAGATGTACACATACCCAAACCTGAAATTTTGGGAAAAAAAACAGACGTTTCTTGCTTTGTATAGTTTTTTGCTATTTTTCCACTAATTTACACAATTTTAGAGATACTTAAACCATTTCTGACTGATTTTTCAATACATAATAGTTTGTTTTAAACTGCTGTTGTATTAAGTTGTAAATACACTTAAATTAAAATGAAGCTCCTATTTAAAGGAAGTTGCAAAAAACCTTTCATAAAGCAAAGAATCACTGGGAACCATGAATAATCACTTCCTATTTCTAACAGAAAAAAAGAAAATGTTAAGTGTAAGGGAATAGCTATAATCTCAAGAAATTACCTAGGAACCACCCACATTCCTCCCATATGAGTTCTAGAACTGTGGAATTCTAGGTTTGGAAGAGACCTTTGGAGCTCCCTGCGCTAATCCTCAACCCCGCACAAGTTCAGAACAATGACATTGAATGGGATGCAGAGATGTGGCTGTCAAAGTACTTTGCTGTCCAGTCTGAGAGGCCCAAGACGCAGAACAACTCATCCCTAACAAGTGCACCTGAGGTTCAAGTAGCAGAGGCAGGCAGACACCCAAGGTTCTGAGGGGCACCTGCTTCCCGAACACCTGCTGCTCTTTCACCCCCGTGGTAGTCTCCACCTGCGAACCCCGCAGTCCGACCCTGTTGGAAAGTTCACTGTCCTCCTCAATCTATCCTAATTCTGCCTTTAAAAGAAACCACCCTTTAAATTTTTGAAGACAGCTTTCTGTGCCCTTCAAAAGCCTTCTCTTCTCCAGGCTTAACATGCCCTCCAGACATACTTCTCAGAAGTGGACAAAGCCACTTAGAAAAACACTGCTCACTGAAGTATAATGTAATATAATATAATATATCTAAGTCCACAAAACCTTTCAGATGTGCTCTGAGAGGGACACGGTTCAGTGGACTACTGCCTTCCTGGAACTTATTTTAAGATGTTACTAATATACCTACAGCTGTAGGTATCTTACTACCCTAGCTTTTCTACAAGCCAAGTGAACAAGTGAAATCATTGATTCATTCAGGGCACATGTCTTATCTAATCTGAAAAGCAAAAGTGAGGTGTGGTCCCACAGCCCTTAATATAACATGCTAGCCAACGAAAACCTTTCATTACATATATGATCTTTAGCAAGACAGAAGTGCTATATTAAACAAGTGAGTTTTTTAACCTAAACACAATTATTCAGTTTGTTTCTAGGCTATTGGAACCAGAGCATCCCTGCCACAGTGTCCTATTGCAGCTCCCCAGCATGACTATCTTCATCATAACTGTGTAATTTGGGGTATTTACTATATCAGGAGCTGAGGTAAGCATTTTACACAACAGATAAAGATAGATGTTGTGCCCACTTTACAGATGAGAAAGTTGAAATTCAGAGAGGTTAATTAATTTTATGCAAGATGACAGACTCAGTTGGTGGCAGAGCCTCACCAGCACACCTTGATGGCAAACTTTACTGATATTCAATAATATTTCATGGATTCAGCTCATAACCAACCCACTTATGGAGGCTCTGAAGTTCCCATCGTCATTTCTGAAATTCAAAGTAATAGTATTCCTTTAGAGCGAAGGTTTTTATCTCTGGCCTTTAAAAGTATAGAGCCATTTTGCTGGTTTGCCCAAATACACAGGAGTGGCCTCAGCTTAAGTGTGGAATGGGAGCAAAACTTCCAAATGAGCTCCTGCCCAATCCTGCACATCCACAATCACCTTTGCAATGCCACACTCTGACAGGTGGGAAAACGGCAGAAACCACTTTGGTAACCATGACATGCAGCAATATTAAAGCATTACACTCAACAAATGAGAAACTTTATTAGTCATTAGTAAATATGGTAAAAGCAACTTGAACAAGTATTTTTCAACACTAATCCTTACTTTTTCTTAATTGCACTTAACAGAGAACTGCTGATACTGAAGTCATGCCTGTGTACTGAGATTGAAACCTTAAAACCACTTAGTCATAGAACTTTTTACACCTTATGCTCTAACAAACTGTATTCCAAAAGAAAGTGGCAAGTGAAACGCAGGATCTTAGGTAATAAAGCTCAAATACTGCATACTTATTAAGAGTTCAATATAGTCACCTGATGATCTCCATTCTCTAGACAATTCTTCAGTGCAAAACAAAAACAAAAAAACACACAAACAGGAAAAGCATTTCTTCCTGCTCAGCCCCTCTGCACCCCCATTACTGACCCTGGGCACATATTAATTTTACTTTAGCTTGGTCAACAGTATCCCTCAGATCCTTTTCAAAATTTTAACTTCAGAGTTGCACTTGTCTTCCATTGTCAGCCAAGACTGTTTAGACTTATCTTGATTATTAATTAACTTTCTGTCTGGAGAAAAAAAGAATTTCAAAGTCTTAACTTTGGTATTTGAATTTTATAATCATTTGGAATTTTTTCTTCCAGTTAACTTTATTTCAGTTGAAAACTGTCAATACCTGTCTTTGTAGCTCTTGTTTTATGATCTGTTTATTTCCAAAACCTGGAGGAAATTCCCCACCTGGAAATCTGTCTACCCGGCTAATCTGGGCTTGAGTTACTGGGTGAATTTAACAACAAAAAGCAGGACTTCTAATCTTACCAACTTAATTAAGCTTTATTCCTTAAGCCTAAGTAAGGTTAAAAAAAAGTCTCAACTCCTTTGTAATAGAAAAATGCATTATGTGTATTAATATTTTGTTAGAAAGTTATATTTACTTTGAGAATAAACATGTAGATTAATTATATTTGCATATCAAATTATTTAACATCTCCAATTTTATAAATAGGAAAGTTAGAAGAGAAAAGGAAATCCAATGTACAGAAGTAAATTTTGCTAAGACACACCTGTAAATGCAACAAAAGTGAAAACTAGAAAAATTTAAAAGCAAGGAATCCTTAGTCTGATACTCTAAACTGGCTAAATATGACTCAGGATGAACGGATATCCAAGATAAACACTTGTATGACAGCAGCAAGAAAAAAGGTGTACAGCAGATCAAATACTGGCCCAAACAGAATGCTGGCTAATTGGGAAAACAACCCACCACAGGCAACTTCTAAAATAACATAAGAATAGAGGTAAAGTCACTGCTCGGTTAAAAATGTTTAATGCCACCGTAATACACGATGGCTATTCCTCTGTGGAGGAACAACATCTAGGCTCCATTCCCAGGATTTAGGTAAAAGGAGAGGAAATACGTTTGAAACTCTTCCTCCCCACCCCCAACAGAAGCACCATGCACAGCAAGTCAAGGACAGATAACCAGTTTCTAAAGATAAAAACCCTCCCTGAGATAGCCATCAAACTGCACGCACACGCGCGTGCACACACACAGAATAATTACTTACATTTCTAAATGCTACTTCAGATTAGTGATAAGAAAAAAGACTTTGTAATTCAAATATTTTAAGGGGCTTAAAATGCCTCAAACTAAATTGATATCTAGTTTTTTAAAAAATGTAACCCTAAATTAGAAGATAAGATTTTTACTCATACTTCTACTAAAATTCCAAGCAGCACAAGCTGTGCTGCCCGCTTTTCACTGAATTCAATACGTTTCTGTGAGCAAGCCTCTGTTGTGCTAATATTGATGTTTTCCTAACTGTCATTTCCTTTGTCATTCTCTTCTACATATTAAGGAGGTCACTCTCAAAACAAAACTTTAAAGTTGACTTTAGAATGGAAAAGTATTTGCATCCAACCTTCACAGTTTTCTCATTTTCCGGCAGCCTCTAAAACGCAGATTTAATTATCATTTGAAATGTGGCCTAAAAGTTCACCACAGGAAGAGAGGCTCCCTCCGTAAGTATTCTTTTCATAATGTACTCCTGAACAGAATGGGCAGACCTGAACAGAAACTTTCATTTCTATAGCACCCATAGACATAAATGTTTCAGTCCTTAAGTCCAACATCTTTCCTATTCCAGGAAAAAAAACACAGAGATGTTAGCATACAGAAGAGATGAGGCGCAGCAACCATTTCATTTGTTCAGACTAGAGTTTCATTTCAGGTAGTGACTTACAATTCTGAATATACAGAGAGAAAAGCAGAAAGGGGTAGCAGAAGACTAAAAACCGAGAATGTTTAGGGGTCCCAATAAAAAGATTGTTCTGTAGCTGTGTGAGAACTCAGCTTTGCAAACTGCTTTCTTGGGAAAGAGAAAAACTCCTCCTTAAATTGCTGGAACTTTACCAAAATATCAATCACAGCAGCCCCTGGGACTAATTTGGTAAAGGACTGCATGCATGGTAGCCTGTCTAGACAGACACAATATATCATGGCTGGAACAAGTCTTACTAAGTATCAACGTGGACAGAGAAGCTGCTTTTATTTTGCTATATTCTTGAGTTAAATACATTCACTTAAAATAGTAACAAAAACCTCTCCAAGATTATTACTGGTTAGTTCAGTTTTGAAATACCAGTGGGGTCATATCTGAGAAGAAAAATGGAGGCGGGAGAGGTATCATTTACATATGATAACATTCACACGTTTCAATGTCCAGTTCTGAGTTTTGACAAACGCATAGAACTGTGTAACTACTACCACAACCAAGATACGGGCAGGTCCACTGCTGAAAAGTTCATTCTTCAGAGGTTCGTAAAATCAAAATTAACCTGTCAACATCCTTTAAAAGTATTTTTGCTTTTGAAACGTCACCGCCTTCATTCGGAAGAGCAAAACAATACCCTCCAAGTGATCCTAAGTGTGTCAACACACGACAGGGGTGAGGCCCCCGCAGCAAGTGGCGCCCGACACGACAGGAATCGTCTCCTTTTCCCCGAGTGGAAACAGGAGAGGCAGAGCTGCATCGCCAGGCTGGAGCCACGAGGAGGTCGAGTTTAATGCCGGAATGACAAACTCCAAAGCACTGAATTCTTCTCCCTAGTAGGGCACGAAACGTGTGGAAGATGGCCAGGGCGCGTGGGAAGAAAGATGACCTATTTTCAACGGCTGTTTTTATAACTGCAAAGTGAGAGAGAAGCGGGGTCTAGTTCCCGGGGCACGGAGGTTTGGAGAGAGAGGAACATAAAAGCCTCACAGCTTTCACCCAAGCCACGGGGTGACGACGAGAAGGAAGGAAGCGAGAGCGCGAGCCGGACGCACGCAGAGCCGAGCCGAGCAGACCAGCGCGCGGGAGAGGGGCCCGGGCCCCACCCGGGGGGCGAAGCGAGGCCCGGCGCTCCCTGCACCTGCCGCCACCTCGGGGGCGGGCAGAGCCGGGACAGGAGCGTTAGGCGCCAGGAAAGGACGCGGAACAGAGGCGAGCATGCCCAGGCCCCGGAAGGGCCGGAGGGCAAAGGCCAAGCGGCGCTCTCCGACCCCGCCGGGCCCCACGCACCCAGCCCACCCGTCCAGGCCCCAGGGCGCACACCAAACCCCCACACCCTGGGCCCACAGCAGCCGGTGGGGAGCGGGCAGGACCTCGGCCGAGGGACGCCGGCCGGGGTGGGAGGCAGCCTCGCAACACTCCGGGGCGACAGCGTGACTCTGCCCGCGGGTCGTGCGCAGAGAGACACCGCCGCCGGAACTCACCTGCCCGCTTGCCCCTTCGCGCAGCGGCACCGGCGCCACACTCCGGCCCAGAACCACCGTCCGCCTCAACCAAGCCCCAGGCAGCAGCGGCGGCGGCGGCGGCAGCAGCCGGACGGGAGAGGCGGGACGGCCCCGCCGCCGCGGCCCAACCCGACTCCGCCCGCCCCCAAGTCCCGCCCTGGGCCGCCGCCGCCACCGCCCATTGGCCCGCAGCTGAACGCATGGGCGCGGTCCCGCCCCACCGCCCCCTACCGTTTTGCTCGGGCTCCTCCCCAGCCATTGGGCCTGCCGGCTCCCGGAGCCTGAACGGCCGGCTCGGCCCCCGTCAGCTCCGGGGCCACAATTGGCGGAACTGTGCCACGCCCCGGCGCTGATTGGAAGACGGGCCCTCCGGGCCCCGCCTCTCGTGTCCAAATTCCGTTAGCATGTTCGGTTGCTTCCGAATTTCCTTTACCCGGGGAGTGGAACCAACGGGAGGGGCCCTCTGACCGGCTCCTCCTACTGCGGGGAGGAGTCGGAAAAGGCTGGCTGCTCTTTCCTCCGTTGAGAGCTTTGCTTTCTTCTGATTGGCTAACAGGTGCCTCCGTATTTTTCATCGCCGACGCAGCGTGATGACGTAGTTCCCCGACATCCCGTGTCCAAGATGGCCGCAGTCGGCAAGGAGAGACGTCGCTGAGGGGCTTGCCTAAGGCGAGGGGTGAGTGGCCGACGGACCGCGGGCGGCGCCACCCACCTCCCGCGTACCTAAAGGTCAGAGTAGGATATGGCCAACTGCCTCCATCCGCTGGTGAAGTCTCTCTTCCCGGATTCCGCCTCCCTCCGCTACCCCCGGTGCAGATCGAAGTTAGCGGACGATGGAGGGGCTGCGGAACGGGCTTCGGGAGAGAGTTTTAGGGCGTAAGAGCAGAGGAGAATGGGCCACGGGGACCCTAGAACGGGTAGCGGTCCTGGCCGAGCGGGGCGGCTAGGGTCTGGGGACTTTCCGGTAGGTGGGGAGAAGGGGCACGGGTCTTCACCCACGCGCGCGTGTTGCAGCCTGAGACTACCCACATCTTCCCAAGTACTTCAGTGTCCCCGTCCCGACTGGGTTCGGCCTGAGACTTCGGTGTCGTTTCCCCTTTGGGCGCTCCCACTCTGGAGTCCGAAGAGGGGTGAGGAAAAGGCACTTCCGCGATTAGATCCATTCTCGCCCAAACGTCGTTCTCACTGACCCTCTCCTGGGTCGGGTTGGTGTGTTACGGAAGGAATTGCTCTTTAGGGAGTTGAGGCGTTGGTTAAGAGGTTCTCGGAAAGCTCTTCGAGCATTATTAGCGCAAAACACGGCCGGATACAACGCTTCCCAAATTTGGGTTGCCAGTTAAATGGAGCTTTCGCTAAATCCATCTGAAGTTAGGAACGCCATCTGAGGGCAGTTCCTTGAGGGTAGCTTTTTGTGTGTTTACCGTAAGCCTGATAATGTTTGTGCATCTCGCTCTAAATCACTTTTTAGAGATGTCTAGCCCCGTGCCTTGCAGCTGTAGGCGCTCATTAAAGGTTTGTATGAATGGTGTGGAAGGCAGGCTCCACCAGGAGTGTTGTGTCCCCATCACCTAGAACACTGCCTGACATGTAGTGAGCTCTCTGTATGGCTGAGTGCAGAATGGATGGATGATTGCAGTAGTGGTGTTGATAGACGTTTTGGTTAAAATCGTTTGTGTTCTTAGGATGCTTGCCTATTAAGTAATGTTGACTGTAAGTGAAGTAATTACCCAGGACTGTTTTCTTTTTCCCAGAGTGACTACCACAGGCGTCTAATTTTAGGGTTTTATTTTCTTTTGCCTCATGTTGATTGTATGTATTTTGAAAACATTAGTTTATTTCTGCATGGGTTTGTTTAACATTTATTTCATTTTGAAAACGTAATTTGCTCTAGTAAGCAATAAAGAAACATTCTAGCCCTGGCCGGTTAGGCTCAGCGGTTAGTCTATCTGAGGATCCAAGAATATTGGGTTCAATTCCCGGTCAAGGCCATGTACCTGGGAGGTTGCAGGTTCATTCCCCAGCTCAGAGCGTTATGGGAGGCAACCAGCCCATGTGTCTCTCTCTCCCTTCCTCCCTCCCTTCCACGCTCTCTAAATATCAATGGATATAATCCTCTGGTGAGGATTAACAAAAAAAAGAAACATTCTAATCACTGAGTTCTTACATTATAAATGCCATTTTTAAAAATTGAATATCATAAAGAAAAAAAATGGTCCTAGTTTTGGCCTACAAAATGAACTACAGTCATGCGCCACATAATGATGACAGTTGGGTCAAAGATGGACCACATATATAAAGGTGGCCCCCATAAGATTATAAAATTCCCATTGGTAGTGACACTGTAGCTTTTGTAATGTCATAGTGGTGCAAGGTGTTATTCATGGTTTTGTGGTGATGCTAGTGTAAGCAAACCTGCGCTGCCTGTCCTATGAAAGTATAGCAGTACAATTATATACAGTACATAATACTTGCTAATGATAATGACAGTGTTACTGGTTTATGTATTTACTATTGTGGGGGCTAAAAAAATCAATACTTTTCCTTCCACCTTCCAAGTGCTTATAGCTGGGTCAGTAATCAAATTAACAGAGACTGATTAGATTAACAGGAGAAAATCAAATTTTTAATACATGCATGTGGGAAATGCGCTCACACAGGCATGAATATTCCAAAGACTAGGAGGCAGCATTGGTATATAAAACATTTTGGACAAAGGAGAAAAGGAGGGGATGGGATATTAGATTTCAGAAGTGAGAATGGACAATTTATAGGTAGTTGAGGAAGAGCTGAACATACGTGACAGGCAGGAAAATTCTTGCTAGGTGACTCAGAAACAATGGGACATGGGGTATCTAGCTAACAGACTGCTGCGTGAAGCTCTCTTATTTATCATTCTCAATTCAAATTAGGGTAAGGCAGTAATTGAGATTCCTTCCTGAAGCAAGTTCTTCTGTCTGAATCTCTTGGGCAGGAAAGGGGGAAGACACAGGAGTTGTTCTTTCTTAAGTCTTGTTTCTTTTTTTTTATTTATTTTTATTTTTATTTTTATTTTTTATCCTTACTCGAGGATATTTTTCCATTTTTTGTACAGATAGAGTGGGAGGGAGAGAGAGGAAGGGAGAGAGAGAGAGAAACATCGACGTGAAGGGACACATCGAGTGGCTGCCACCCGCACGACCAACCAGGGCCGGGGACAAACTGCAACCGAAGTACATGCCCTTAGCGGGGACCGAACCCGGGTCTCTCTGGACCGCAGGCCGACGCTCTAACCGCTGAGCCAAACTGGCCAGGGCTTAAGTCTTGTTTCTTAATAACCAGCTTAAAATCAATATCCCAAAAAGGCAGCTTCAATGTGACAAAACTTTGGTTTCTTTCACTGTACTATGCTTTTTATCATTATTTTAGAATGTACTCTTTCTAGTAAAAAATGAAATGTGCTGTGTTATGTTGGCAGCAGCTTCCTACATCTCATGTTTACTTCGTCTCTTGATTGAATCATTTTTCCTTCAAAGTGCTATTAATGATAGAAAATTGGAGTCTGGCCCTGGCTGGTTTGGCTCAGCGGTTAGAGCATCGGTCTGCGGTCCTGAGAGACCCGGGTTCGGTTCCCGCTAAGGGCGCATGCCTCAGTTGCAGTTTGTCCCCGGCCCTGGTCGGTCGTGCTGGTGGCGGCCACTCGGTGTGTTCCTTTCACGTCGATGTTTCTCTCTCTCTCTCTCTTCCTCTCTCTCCCTCCCACTCTACCTGAACAAAAAATGGAAAGGTGTCCCCAGGTGAGAATAAAAAATAAAAAAAAAGTGGAGTCTGATAAATGTCTTTTTTGCAGAGCAATTAGATGGTCCTCGGGTACTAGAACTTGTTGATACTATATTTTAGAATCTTTTTGGGGGAGCAAAAAGAGTTTGTGAGTGTGGAAATGGTGGATTGAGTCCCTCAAACAGCAGAACTTCAGTTTTTTTTAAAAAGCTGGTGACACAAATGATGTTCCTTTTGTTACAAGTTAGATTGGTGCTGGATGGAGGTGAGTCCATTTAGATTTCCTTAGGACACTGAACATAATCTTATCCTAGCCTAGTCAACACAGTTAAATGTACTTGAGATGGGGTCTAATTAGATGGACATCCATTCAAATTGCCAATGAAGGGAGTTAGAGATAAGCTACAGGTCTCTGGTCTTGCTCTTACTCTGATGAGCACTTTTTTTTTTTTTTAAATCCTCACCCGAGGACATTTTTCCTTTTTTGTTCAGATAGAGTGGGAGGGAGAGAGAGATTGGAGAGAGAGAGAGACATCGATGTGAAAGGGACACCTCGAGTGGCTGCCACCCGCACGACCAACCAGGACCGGGGACAAACTGCAACCGAGGTACATGCCCTTAGCAGGAACCGAACCTGGGTCTCTCGGGACCGCAGGCTGACAATCTAACCGCTGAGCCAAACTGGCCAGGGCATGAGCACTTTTTTATTACCAACTTTAAATATACAAGAGGCATGCTTCTCAGATTAATAAACACACTCAAAACCTGAAATTAGCTGGCATGTTAGATGACTCTCAGGATTCAGAGTTCTTAAAAGTTAAAATAATAGGCCCAAACTAACAAGATACAGATTTACCAGGAATGATTACATTTACAAAAACCCAGTTTTCCATGTTTGAGCTGAGGAAGGTCTAACTTGACAAAATTGGTTCTTGACAAAACATTTACAGAAGCAAAGTAGTGTCCACTTTGTGAAAAGGCAGTATCTTAGTCTAATGACAAACTGTGGCTGTACCATTTACTAGTGGTGTGAATTAGGCAAGTTGCTTCATGTGTCATTAGCTTCATTTTCTCAGTGATACATTGTGAGGATAAGAAAACATAGCTTGAAGGCATGCTGCAACTCAATAGCCACTCAGTGGACATGTTGAATATTAGTGACTGCCCACCGCGTGTACTACACCAATCATATAAAAAGGACTGTTTTCCATTTTGAATGCTAATATTGGGGGGGGGTGAGTCTTGAAAAACTAAAAATTATGTTGAGAAAATGAGATATTTGTTTGCCCTGGAGAAGAGAAAGGGACGTAAAAATTGTCTTCACATATTTGAAAGGCAATCAGTAGTTAAGGGAAAGGTGGTTTCAAGGAGCTAAGTGGGAGCTACAGAGAGTTGTTGAAAGGTAGCTTTCATTCACTCATTCTTCTGTGCCATCTGTGTACCAGATCTAGGGGACGAACAGAACAGATCAAGTGAACAGAACAGATCAAAATCAATGTAAAATTAATACACGAATTACTGTGAACACCAGTTATTGATACTCAGCAGTGCCATAGGCTACTTTATAAACTGTTAAGGTCCCATTAATGAAAGTGGCCAAATGAAAGTGAGTGACCAAATATTACTGTTTAGAAGGAATTTCTGTACTCTGAAAAATCAAGTAGTGACCTTTACTATTGTTTCCAACTTGTAAGTATCCATAATTCTAAATGCTTAAAAATGAATTTAATCATTCATCATGTAAAATGAAGTATCTAAGGCACATTCTTGAAAGATGATGCTAAAGTGCCTTGACATGCTGCTTGTTTATGGAGAGATTTTTACTTTGTGGAGCTCATAAATCTCTCAGTAATTTCACAGTAAATCTCTCAGTAATCATAAACTGCTAATGAGAAAATTTATGGCTTTAGGGTTTTGTGAAAAAATAATTGTAGAGTAATAGGAAATGGAGTTATAGAACTGAGACAAGAACTTTTTCAGGGGGATGGATGATGTAGAGAACTATTTCGATTCTATGTACATTTATTTTCACTGCACTTCATGTATTATTCATTCTGCCCTAGACTCTACAGGCACCTACACTAAATTACTAACATGGGGTTTGGTCATTGACAGCGAGGTAAAATAGGCTGGAGTATATTTGTGGTTTGTCCACTTGTGACTAGGATACTGGGATTCTTTTTCATCCCTGTTTGATTTGATCCCTGCTGGTTTTTTCCTAACCCTTCTCTGCACTCTGCCCTCTCCTCTCTGCAGATTTCTTGGCACTCTGCTTCCCAAAGAAAATGGAGACTCTTATGAGCAGCTTCCTCGGTCTTTTTCTTCCCTTCTGTCTCAGAGAAAGAGCTTCCTTTCTAAGGTTATCTTTTTCACTATGCTTTTTTTACCCCCTTGGCCAGTGAACCCCTCAGTGGCTTGTTCAGCCTCCTCTAGTGGCTCATTCCCTTTTGGCTACACACATCTTTTATTCTGCTTTATGCTGAAAAAAGAATACCTTGTTTCACAGCCCATTCATTCCTTAGCACCCCTTGTAGTCTTCCTTCTGCCCCACTGCACGTCCGAAAGGGTTCTACTTACATATGTGTAAGTATTTGGTTTATTAAGATACAATTCACATACTATACAGATTAGCCCTTTAAAGCATACAAGCCAGTGGTTTTTAGTATATTCACGTTGTGTGAGCATCACTACAATTAATTTTTTGTGTCTCTAATAACGAATCACCAATTCTAGTAACCTTTCCTTAATTCCTTGTCCTTGAATTTTTCTTTAGGATTTGTCACTATTACCTGCACCTGTGGCTTAAAGCTGATACCCCTAGTTTCTTATGCAATTAAGGGTGCAATTTTTTATTTCCACCTTTTTTTTAAACTATGCCTTATGTTTCTCTCCTTTGATAATTCTTTCTGCTTCCTCAAGTTCTTCAGAGTTCTGTCCCCAGGCCTCTTCTTTTTCAGTCACCATCTCTCCTCCATCTGTCATCATGACTTTAGTTGTCAATTCTTTGTAGGTGAATCCCAAGTAGATAATGTTCTTTCCAAATTTCAGCAAGCCTATTTATCTGTCTGATGGATATTTCCACACAAATGTCTTACAAGTTCATCAAATCTGATTTTTATAGAACCAAATTATATTTCTCCCCCATCAAAACCAACACTTTCTCTTCCCCATTTTCCTTTTCAGTATTATCATTACCCTTCTCTGTCAGTCAAGCAAACATGAAATCATCTCTCCCACTACCATGGTAGGGAGACAGGCCCTCATTGGGCATTACTGGAACAGCTACTCTAGTCTTCAAACTGGTCTTCCTTCTGCAGATCTCTATAAACATTTCTCCTCATCATTCTTTCTCCCCTTTATGTGCTTTTTTATTTTTCATGGCACCTACCACTTTCCGACAGATATTAACATACTTGTTTCTCTTTGTCTCTGCCACTAGATATTTCCAGTAGGACAAAGACCTTGCCCCTCTTGTTCCCTGCTATGTCATTGAGGCCTGGCTTATAGTGAATACTTAGTTAACATTTGAATAAATAAGCATTGTGTATGAGAACAGTTAGGTTAATGTATCTTAGAGATTCCCAACTAGTGTACCATGAACAAATTACAGATATGCTGAGATATTGATTCCCTCGGCCATTTGGCCAGTTGCCTTCTGTCGTACAAGAGCATGCATAAAATGCTCATTGCTGTTAATTCATCAAAAAACAGAAATATTTCAAATGTCCATCCCCAGTAGAATGGACAGGTAAATTTTCCACTCATAGAATAGAACACTTACTGTACAACAGAGTTTCTCAACTTCAGCACACTTGGCATTTTGGACCACCAGTTAATTTCTTGTTGTGGGGGGTTATTCTGTGCATTGTAGAATATTCAGCAGTATTCCTGACCTCTACCTCCTAGATGCCAATAGCAGACCCCCAGAAATGACAACCAAAAATGTCTCCTGACATTTCTAGCTGTTCCCTGGAGGGGGCATATTTGCCCCGGTTGAAAACCACTGCTATACAGTCATGAGAACGAATGGATATCACTTTATGCAACAAGGATGAGCCCCACAGACATAATATTGAGCAAAGGAAACCAACTGTAAAAGAATGATACTGACCCTGGCTGGTTTGGCTCAGTGGTTGGAGCATCGGCCCGAGAACCAAAGAGTCTGATGTTTGATTCCCAGTCAAGGGCATGTACCTGGGCTGCAGGTTCTATCCCCCACTCTGGTCCGGGTGCAGGAGACAACCAATCCATGTGTCTCTCTCACATAGATATTTCTGAGAGTCTCTCTTCCTCCCTCCCTCCCACTCTATCTGAAAAATCAATGGAAAAATATCCTCGAGTGAGGATTATAAAATGATAAGAAGAAGAATAAAAAATAAAAGAGTGATACTGTGTCATTCTGAAACTAATACCGCAGCCTAAGAATAAGACATTCCCCCTTTGTAATCGCAATATTATTATTATCCCTAAGAAAATTAACAGTGATTCCCTCAATATCCTCTAATATACAGTCCATTTAATTTAATTGCTCAAAATTTCTTTTATAGCTATTTTTTTTAACCAGGATTCAGTTAAGGTTCACACAATGAATTTGATTGTTATGCCTCTTTAGTTGTTTTAAATGTAGAACTGTTCCTTCCAATTTTTGTGTTTTTTTATGACATTGACTTTTTTGAAAAAAACTAGGTCAGTTGTCTTGTAGAATGTCGCATTTTCTGCACGTGACTAATAGTTTCCTTTTTGTGCCATTGAACTTCTTCTCCCCCCAGTGTTTACTCTAAGCTGTGTCAAAAGGCTTAGTGGGATTTAGGTTAAGCTGTTTGGGGGTAAGAATACTATGTAGTTGAGTGCTGTTTACTTTATATTGCATCACATCAAGAACTCTTGGATTGTTGGTATTTTTTTTTTTTTAATCCTCACCTGAGGACACCTTTGCATTTATCTTCAGATAGAGCGGGATGGTGAAAGAGAGGCATAGATGTGAGAGACATAGCGACTGGTTGCCACCCACACGACCCCAGCTGGGGCCGGGGATGAACTGCAACTGAGGTACATGCCCTTAGCGGGAACCTAACCCGGGCTGAGCCAAACCAGCCAAGGCAAGAACTCATAGATTGTTTATTCACTCTTTTACCATCAATCATAGTCACTTTTCTTTTCAGTATTCAAATTCCCGGAATTTGTCCAATGGAAGTCCGACATGCTGGCTGCTGTGTCTTTGATAAGCTTCCGTCGTGCGGGCTGGCTCCTACCCCAAACTGGGAAGGAGACCTGATTCTCTCAGGGAATCATGGTTTTGAAAACGAAGATTTGGGCCCTGGCTGGTTTGGTTCAGTGGTTAGAGCATTGGCCCACCGACCAGAGAGTCCCGGGTTCAGTTCCCGCTAAGGACATGTACCTTGGTTGCAGTTTGTCCCCCACCTCGGTTGGGGTCGTGTGGGTGGCCAACCACTCCATGTGTCTCTTTCATGTGAATGTTTCTCTATCTTCCTCCCTCTCTCCCTCCCGCTCTATCTGAAGATAAATGCAAAAAAATGTTCTTGAGTGAGGATAGAAAAATTTTAAAAAATTTTTTTTTTTTTTTTAAAAACTAAGATTTGGGCACTGGGTGTATCCCTGATTATAGATCCTTCTAGGTACCTGAAGTGGACAGAGCTGGGAGGGGTGTGTGTGTGTGAATATATACATACATATATATATAAAACCATCCCTTATTTTTATATTTTCCAATTAAAATGTAAAATTACAGGTTTTTCCTAATTTTTTATTGTATGCATATGTATATTTATTTCCTTTACACTGAAAATCATAAACATTAACGTCTATGCATTTGCATTATCCTACATTGTACAAAAAAAGTGGTTTGACAGTTACAGTATTAATGCTACTAATAACAGTACATTACTGAAGAAGTTTAAGGTTTCTTTGCAGTTCTTTTTGTTTTTAGAATATAGTGCACTCAGGATGGAACAAGATCAGAAATTACTCATAAAGATTTTCTGTGGTTATGTTGCTTGTTTTTGTACACTGGGTTTGAGTTTTAAGATTTGTTGTTTTTTTCTTTTTAGTGAAGTTCGTGAATATATTAAATACATGATTCAAAAGTCTATTACAAAAGGATTTAGGAGCCAAATTGAAAGAGCTCCTAGCAGTGGCCATAACTGGAACAGTTTGAGCAACAAAATACTGATAATATTGGATTATAACTCAAAGAATACAATAAATACCAGTGAGTCCTTACTAATACAAATGAATGATTTTATAAATGAAAAAGGAACAAATCTTTCTTACAAAAGAATTCCAAATAATGTTGAAGGGAGGAATGAACTAGAAAATCACCATTGGAGCACCACAGTAGTGGTGGTTGTAGGCAAGCTCCGGGGGTGAATGCTAAAAGAAATGGGCAAAACTGGAACTTTGGACAGTATTTTGCATTGCAAAAAATTTCCTCCAAAATGATTGTTAATCACCATGGTGGTTTTAACATGTCCACACATTCTCTGCTACTTCTCCATCCAGGAGGTGAGGCTTCATTCCTTTACTCTTGAGTATGGGCTGGACCTCATGACTCACTTCTCAGGAATAGAAAAAAGAAAAGAGAAAATAATGACTTATACTGAGACATCTGGCAGGACACGTCTTAACCAAATGCTTGGTTGCAGTTTGTCCCCCACTGCAGTATGAAGTCATTCTTTTATCTATGCCCTGGTATAATGTGATGGGAAGGGCACTTCACCTCTGTCGTTTTTCCTCAAAACTCCAAGTTAACATCCGCAGTATGAAGTCATTCTTTTATCTCTGTGCCCTTGTATAATGTGATGGGAAGGGCACTTCACTCTGTCGTTTTTCCTCAAAACTCCAAGTCTGTTCATGAGCAAACATCAGTTAAACCTAAATCAAAGACATTTTAACCTGCCTAGTACTTTTCAAAACTGGTGAAGTCATGGAAGACAAGGAAAGACTGAGAAATTGCTAGATATTAGAAGATGCTAAGGAAATATTAATACTCTAATGTTATATATTATCCTGGTATGGATCCTGGAACAAAAGGATTTTTGGAAAAACTCAAATTTGTGTCAAGGTTATAGTTTATTTAATAATGTACCAAAATTGCCCTGGCCGGTTTGGCTCAGCGGTTAGAGCGTCGGCCTGCGGTCCGGAGAGACCCGGGTTCGGTTCCCGCTAAGGGCATGTACCTCGGTTGCAGTTTGTCCCCGGCCCTGGTTGGTCATGCGGGTGGCAGCCACTCGATGTGTCCCTTCACGTCGATGTTTCTCTCTCTCTCTCTTCCTCTCTCTCCCTCCCACTGTATCTGTACAAAAATTGGAAAAATGTCCTCAGGTGAGGATAAAAAAATAAAAAATAAATAATGTACCAAAATTGATTTCTTAGTTTTGATCAATGTACTATACTTATATAAGATGTTACAGTTAATGGAAGCTGGGTGAAAAGTATACAAAAATTCTCTGTATTAAGTTTATAATTTTTCTGTAAACCTACAATTATTTTAATTCTCACCCTCAGATACTTTTTTTCCATTTATCTTCAGATAGAATGAGAGGGAGAGATAGTAGGGAGGGAGAGAGGTTGGGAGGGGGAGAGACAGAGAGACAGACATCGACGTGAGAGAGACACATCTGTTGGTTGCCTCCCGTATGACCCTGACCAGGGCCAGGGACCAAACCACAACCGAGGTAAATGCCCTTGACCGGAATCAAACCGAAGACTCTTTGTTCTGCAGGCTGACGCTCTAACCGCTGAGCCAAACCGGCCAGGGCTCTACAGTTATTTTAAAATAAGGTTTTTTGTTTTTGTTTTTCGAGTCAAAGCTATAGAAAAAGATACACTCAGAGAAGTCTTGCTCCTAGTGTTTTCGTTTTGTTCTTCCCCAAACCTTATTGGTAACTGTTATTTTATTAGTTTAAAGAAGAGAGATCCCTATTCTTATTTCCCCTCCTCTGTTACCTAGAGATATACTAACATACTGTGCATGCTCTCCTGCCCCTGGCTGATCCTAGAACTGTCTCCATCTTTCTCCATCGTTTTAATGGCTGCATGGTACGCCATTGTGTTAATGTGCCATCTTTTATTCAGCCAATACCCTATTGATGGACATTTGGGTTGTTTATAGTTTTGCTATTATAAATAGCACTTTGGTGAACAATTTGTGCATGTATTGTTTCATATTTGTTATGGATTTTCAGGGTTGATTCCTGGAAGTGGGCGTGCTGAAGCAGAGAGGTGATGAGTGTGGTTTTCTTAGGTATTGCCAGACTCCCTCTGTAAGAGTTGTCCGGGCTGTGCCCCCACTGGCAGTCCGAGATCACCTGCTTCTCCTTGGCCTTGCCAGCAGCGTATATTGTGAAACTTTTGGTTGATATTGTGAAATTTTTTGCTGATCCGACAGGTGAGAGATGATATTTTAAGACATCTAACTGAACTCCTCATTTATGTACTGAGGCTTTAGTTAACCAGTCTCCCCACCCCAAACCATTGCCCTGTTTAGCCACACACAAAGGTCTAAGTTCACAAGATTACTTTTCTGCGGGTGCTTAATTCTTCCTGTTGAAGGAAATAATCAGATTCTCTTTAGAGCTCTCAAGTGAGGGGAGGAGAGCACACAGCCTGCCATGTCAGCTTCCTCAGAGTTAGGCTTCCAGATGAACCGAAGGCCCTGGCCCAGGGCCTGGCCACCAAACTGCTATTTTCTTGCAAACCAGATTAACGTGGGTCTAGCACCTCTGTTAGAACTCTTTGCTACTCTATTCTCTGATCCAACTACAGTGACCGCATCTGAGTGTCCTTTTTTGTTTTCTTTTCTCAACATGGAGCTTTTAGAGAATCTCTTTATTCTGAATAAATGAGAAGTAGATGAGAAAGCAAAAAAAATTTAAAGGAACTGCTTCCTTCCCTTGTAGACTACCTCCCTCCACCTGCTCCCCTCAAATCCTGCACCCACACTTGATCATATATTGCTCAGTTAGTGACTTGTGCAGAAGTGAATTCATCCAGTCTGGCTTTTTTATGTGAAAGTGCCTAAGAGAAATCGTGTAAACGAAAGAGAAAACTTGACTGGATGGGAGAGATGGATAATTTTGGAGCATGAATCTTTTTAGGGGGTTAGGACAGGCCTGGGTTTACTGAAGAATGGACTCTAGACCAGCATGGGGCAACTGGGCCAGTGGAGAAGGCAGGCAGGAAGGTGAGATGGAATTCTCTCCATTTCAAACTGCCGTGAAATCTGAGGGTTGTCGTACGGGGGCCTCTTAGAGCACAGGTGTTCCTCAGTATCTGCGTGGGATTGCTTCAGGACTTGCCAAAAGCCATGGATGTTCAGGTTTCTTATTATATGGACTAGAACAATGCATATGAATGTGTTAAATTGGCTTTGGAGGTAAGTCTGGCTTCTAACTGCCAATCAATACCGTTTCTGTGGGAAGTGTCAATCCGAAATCAGGTCCAGTCTGTAATTGTAGATTGTTTATAGTGATTAGGATTGCTTCACGTGGGGTATCTCTTTTCAACTTTGCTTCTTCTCTTTCTCTTAGGATTCTTACATTTTCAGAGAATCTTTTGAAAAGAACAAGTTTACTTCAATAAATGAAGGAGAATAAAGAAAATTCAAGCCCTTCAGTAACCTCAGCAAACCTGGACCACACAAAACCATGTTGGTACTGGGATAAGAAAGACTTGGCTCATACACCCTCTCAACTAGAAGGACTTGATCCAGCCACTGAGGCCCGGTACCGCCGAGAGGGGGCTCGGTTCATTTTCGATGTGGGCACACGTTTGGGACTGTATCCTTATCTCTTTGGAATCGGTTATAGATAGGCTCCCCACCACCACCGAGAATTAAATTAGATACTGTTGATAAAATATGTAGTGGTATCTCTGTACTAAAATAGCTGTTGAATATCTTTGTTATCTAAATGTTATGTTTCTGACTTGCTTGGCTCTCCACAAGTTTTCTGTTTCCTGTTTTTCGTTTAAATTTGTAGACTTGGCCATTGAGCAAGTGGCACCAGCAGGAAAACAGCACCCAGGGATCACAGCTGAAGTGTTCTTTTTTTTTTTTTTTTTATCCTCACCTGAGGATATTTTTCCATTTTTTTGTACAGATAGAGTGGGAGGGAGAGAGAGAGAGAAACATCGACGTGAAGGGACACATCGAGTGGCTGCCACCCGCACGACCAACCAGGGCCGGGGACAAACTGCAACCGAAGTACATGCCCTTAGCGGGAACCGAACCCGGGTCTCTCTGGACCGCAGGCCGATGCTCTAACCGCTGAGCCAAACTGTCCAGGGCACAGCTGAAGTGTTCTTAAAGGATGGTGAAGCCCGGCCTTGTCAACAGCGGCAGCTTCACCTTGCTAAGTCTCGTACCAGAAATCTGATACCATGGTTTCCTTCCACCTGCTTTGCCACTGACATTGTTTGCATTGCTACTGGTTTTCTTACTAGTGTTTGTCTTTGGTTTTTCCACATTTAACTAAGAGTGGCCTATAGAAATGTTTGGCTAAAGTCCTTAACCAGAGCAACAGACACTATGATACCCTGGCAACTGGAATAATTTATTTTCATCGCTTCTATATGTTTCATTCCTTCAAGCAGTTCCCAAGATATGTAAGTATTTTAATTTTATTGTAATTCTCCATCACATGTAATTATTTCCACATACTTTAGTAGACTAAATTTCCAGAAAGTATTTATTTTTACATACTACATGTTATGTATGAACAAAATCAAGTTTGAACTTTGGGGTATTATTTATCTGCTTATTTATTTATTTATTTATTTATTTATTTTTAATTAACCATGTTCAAATCTTTTTTTGTTTAGGCTGATATGGACCATAGTCATATTGCACTTTGTAGGAAAGTTTACTTCCCTGTTACCTTTGCCAAGATAAATTTGGGCTTATAATTTAACCCAACAAAGGCCAAGAGGAATAGAAATTCTTAGGCCATATTGCTCATTCTTCAGTTACTTAAACATGCACGATGTCTTCTGCTCTGTGGGAGCCCGAGACAGGGAGCCTGCTCGGCAGCTTTTAGTCCCGGGTAGACGGCATGATGTACGGAACACACGTAGAGAAGGGCCGTAGGAGAGGTGCAGAAGGAAGGCTGCAGCCTTCGAGGGAGAAAAGTACACCTCGGAGAGGTCAGGGAATGTGCTAGGGAAGAAGCGCCAGCAGTGAGGTAAGCCCTGGCTGTAAGCGGGCTTCCATGCGCTGAGATGCGACAGAGCAGTAGTCCGCAGACACTGGCATGACAGACATGGAGGAAGTGTGTAGTAAGTGTCAGCCTGCTCAGGAGGTTCGTTTGGCAGAAGTGGAACGGGGTGGGATGTGCATGGTGGAAAGTAGACTGGGTCCAACTCTCGTGAGCATTGAATTCCAGGCTCAGGCATTTGACTTGAGCAGGTAAACTGAAGCGGTTGAACAGCTGCATAAAGATGGCAGAATTAGACTTAAGAAGTCAGTCCGTTGGGGTTCTTTCTTTTATTAAGGTTTTACTTAATTTTGTACACAAGTTCTAGAGGAAGAAGACTGTGTCAGAGTTAGCATTGTACCCCTAGCACAGTCTCCAACATCTAATGGTCAGGATTCTATGGAGGGTCAGACATGCAAGAGAGATGGGAGTAGGCAGAGGTAGAACAGTGAGACCACCTCAGTGATGTGGGAGCTGGACTAGGGTCTGGGCGGCCTGAGGGGAAGGACAGACAGCTAGCTGGGCACTGGCGCAGAGGTGATGGGATCCACGAGACACCTGGTTGGTCACGGTCTTCTGTAGCAGATCCCACTGTTCAGGGAGTCATGTGTACGACAGCAATATAAAAAGAAAACGTGTGTCTGTGGCTTTTTCCCCTTCTGGCATCTACTTTGTTTACATAACATGTTCTTCAGAAAATTAAATTTAAAATAAAATTTGTGGAGCCAACTTGGGAGTGTGTATGTGAAATTTCCTTTGAGCTCTTAGGGTATCTTAGTCCTTGTGAATGAGAAGGGGAAGGTAGGAGAATGAGGGGGACCAGTTTGTTGTGAAGGGCAAAAGTCCATGCTTGTGTCCCTGCGTGAGCTTTGATAATAGTATCTCAGGAACTTTTCTCCTTTTTTTTAGGTAACAGGAGCTTGTTGTCTCTTTCTGGCTGGGAAAGTAGAAGAAACGCCCAAAAAATGTAAAGATATCATCAAGACAGCTCGTAGTTTATTAAATGATGTACAATTTGGTCAGTTTGGAGATGACCCAAAGGTAAGAATCATAACTTCCTGCCTTTAAATCTTGATTACTTGTGGTAGCATTAAGATAGAGGTCCTTGGCCCTGGCCGGTTTGGCTCAGCGGTTAGAGCATCGGCCTGTGATCCAGAGAGACCCAGGTTTGGTTTCCGCTAAGGGCATGTTTGTCCCCCGCCCTGGTTGGGTTGTGCGGGTGGCAGCCAATCGATGTGTCCCTTTCACGTCGATGTTTTTCTCTCTCTCTCTCTCCCCCTCCCGCTCTATCTGAACCAAAAAAAAAAAGAAAAAAATATCCTCGGGTGAGGAAAAAAAAACGATAGAGGTCCTTGCCCAGCCAGTGTGGCTCAGTGGTTGAGCATTGACCCATGCACCAAGAGTCACTGGTTCAGTTTGCAGTCAGGGCACCTGCCCAGGTTGTGGACCAAATCCCCAGTGGGGGGCATGCAGGAGGCAGCCAATCAATGTTCTCTTTCATTGATGTTTCTCTCTCTCCCTCCCCTTCCTTTCTCTCTAAAATAAGTAAAGGGAAAAAAAAATAGACGTCCTTGCTCAGTCACTGTGTCTCAGTGGATTGAGCATCGTCCCACGGACTGAGATGTCCCAGTTCAGTTCCTGGTCAGGGCACATGCATGGGTTAGGAGCTCGATCCCCAGTAGGTGGCATGCAGGAGGCAGCTGATCAGTATATCTCTCACATAGATGTTTCTCTCTCTCTCTCTCTCTCCCCCTCCCCCCTCCCTCTCTCTCTCCTTCCCTTCCTGTCTCTAAAAAAATCAATTAAAAAAAATGTTATATATATATATTTTAAAAAAAGGTAGAGGTCCCAGTGTTGGCAGTGGTTGTGGCTCCTGTATCTGCCACCTGTGCAGAAGATACTTTTCCTTCTGTAAGAGAGGAGGGAAAATGATGTAGCTATGCTTAGGTAGCACTTGCTTATGTGCACAGTGATGTTCTGAGCACTTTAAGGGTGATAGCACATTCAATGGATATGAGCAATATCCTGTCATGGCCATCTGTGCTCCTGGACTCAGGTGCATTGTGGCTTCTTTGGTTCAGGGGTGACGGCAGCCTTCTGGGTAGATGGAAAGTGCCAGTGCTCTATGTACGTGTACACGTACTGTGTATCTTTTGCTTCCCAAGAATGGTGGAAGGTATCTGTATTTGCAGCTATTTTCATACACCCAGAGATGGATGTTGGTTATACTGCCCATCCAGTCTTTTCCCCACAGCCCAGGCTCATGTCAGGCGATGATGGTCAAATAATTACATATATGCTTTTGTTATGTTCTAAAAGGACCACTTTCAGCCCTGGCCAGTTTGGCTCAGCGGTTAGAGCGTCGGCCTGCAGTCTGGAGAGACCCGGGTTCGGTTCCCGCTAAGGGCACGTACTTCGGTTGCAGTTTGTCCCCGGTCCTGGTTGGTCGTGCAGGTGGCAGCCACTCGATGTGTCCCTTCACGTCGATGTTTCTCTCTCTCTCCCTCCCACTCTATCTGTAAAAAAATAATAATAATAATAAAAGGACCACTTTCAGAGACCAATAACTTTTTTTTATCCTCACCTGAGGACATTTTTGCATTTATCTTCAGATAGAGCTGGAGGGAGAGAGGAAGAGAGAGAGAGAAACACTTCGACCGGTTGCCACCCACATGACCCCAACAGGGGCGGGGGACAAATTGCAACCAAAGTACATGCCCTTAGCAGGGGAAGTAAACCTGGGACTCTCTGGTCCGCGAGCCGACACTGTAACTGCTGAGCAAAACCGGCCAGGACAAGACCAATAACATTTCTAAGAAGCTTTATTTCTAGTTTTTTAAAAAAATTAGCTCTGGTCGTTGCATCTTATTTTTAGTCCTTTTCAGAATTTATCATTGTGCCTGAGTGGGAGAGAGGAAAAAATGAACAAAAAAATAGTTATTAAAATATAACTTGAAAAAAAAATAAATAGGAAAGCTTGCTTTTTAACTGCCGTTTTAGACCTGTGATTAAAATTACACCTCAGCCTTTGCTATTTTATTTTTAGGAAGAAGTGATGGTTCTGGAGAGAATCCTACTACAGACTATAAAGTTTGATTTACAGGTAGAACATCCGTACCAGTTCCTACTCAAGTATGCAAAACAACTCAAAGGTAAGAAAAAGTTATTAAAATAACTTTTTATTCTGAAACCAAGTCTTTATAATCCTTTGATGACCCTGAGATTATGCTTCTCAAAAGAGGAAGCCAAAAATTCGGTGTATCAAGTCCCTGGGCCATATTGTGGCTGTTACCACTGCTTCCTTTTTTGTATAAACCGACCTGTCATCCAGTTGCCTAGTGGTATGAGACAGGAAAATGAGTCAGAATTGTTTAAATAGCCCAAACAATCTGCCTTGGAGCCAGGTTTTCCATAAACGGCGGCTCTTCGCGTAGGGCACGTGGAGAGAGCAGAGGTGGGGCTTGGACCCTCGCTTGTCCTCGTCTCCGGGTGCAAGCTCTTTGCTCGGCAGTGAGATGGCGCCGAGGGAGCGCTGGGCTTCATTACCTGCTTGTTCCTTCTAGTGCTGCTCTTTTCTTCTGTTCCTGCTCATTTATCTTGCCCTCTCCCCTTCCTAGGTGATAAAAACAAAATTCAGAAGTTGGTTCAAATGGCATGGACATTTGTAAATGACAGGTGCGTGTGTTCAAATGTTTTAATTACAGTGTTTTTAACAAACTATAGAAGTGATACCTGAAAGTATACTCTTTAATTCTAGTGTTTTTAAATATGCAGGGACTTTAGAGGTCACTGTATCCAAACCCCTTACTTTCTATCAAGGACACTGACTTGACCCAGCTTGAAGAGTCAGTGAGTGGTAGAGCTGAGGCTGAAATCCAGGTCGCCTGGTCCCGGTAGAGGAATGCCCTGCCATGTCACGTGCTGCAGGATGCAGAAATCTTACCACCAGTTTGAAACATGAGTCCAAAACAATACACCAGAGAGTTTTGACAATTAAATACTTAGAACCCATTTGGTTCTGCAAAACCAAAACCACGTGTTGTAATGGTTAGAGCCTTCGTGTTCTGGAGCCCAGGGATCTAATAAGGAACAAAGTGACTGAGTGGAGTTGTTGTCATTTGAGGAAACATATGAGTGGCTAGGATTTCAACAGTTCGAAGAACATAAATCATTTTCATTTGTTTTTTCATGGCATGGCAGTTTTTTAATATGCAGGAATTCTTCTGATTCTTCAAGTAACAAATCATCAACTGGTTAATGTAACTTATTTTTACACTTTTAGAAGACTTGAAATTTGCTTCTCTTATATATGTATAATACTTTATTTGATCACGTTTAGAGAAAAATAAGCAAATCAACATTTAGATGCAGCATCTGATCGTCATGCATTGAGTTAATCACAAGTGTTTTTACATCCAAGTCAAGTCACCTCTTTTTCTTGTTGAACTAGTCTCTGCACGACCTTGTCACTGCAGTGGGAACCAGAGATCATAGCAGTGGCAGTAATGTATCTCGCGGGGCGTTTGTGCAAATTTGAAATACAAGAATGGACCTCCAAACCCCTGTATCGGAGATGGTGGGAGCAGTTTGTGCAAGATGTCCCTGTGGATGTTCTGGAAGGTACTGGGCATGCCAGGCATTCTGTGAGGGTGCTACATGTTTCAGTGATGCTACCCTGGGAACACAAGTCCCAGGAATGGATTTTTCAATAGGCCCATGTAAACTATTCTTCAGAAGCATCTCGGATTAAATTCTCAAATGCAATGTTTACCTTGTCCAAGCATCTAGTTTTGGTGACCTGAAAATACCTACCAGTGCTGTGCACAGCAGAGACAGGGTGAATTTCAAGTATGATACCAAAGGGAAGTGCGTTGCTTTTTCTCCTCTAGGTAAAATTTTATTTAAAATATCAATTTATGATAAATGTAATTGTCACCTGTCATTTAGATATCTGCCACCAAATCTTGGACCTTTACTCACAAGGAAAACAACAGATGCCCCATCACACGCCCCACCAGCTGCATCAGCCCCCATCACTCAACCCAACACCACCAGTGCCACCAGTGCCACCGTCACAGTCTGCTCAAGGCTCTGAACCGCCGCAGCCCCAGCAGAAGGACCCACAGCCATCAGCCCAGCCGCCACCGCCGCCACAGCAAGCCCAGCAGCCCAAGAAACCATCCCCACAGCCGAGTCCTCCCCGCCAGGTGAAGCGAGCCACGGTGAGTGGCCAGATTGGCACTGGGCATGGCTAGCTTTCCAGGTGGCAGTGCCCCACCTGAGCACGTTCCTATTTCTGAGGGATTGCACAGATCACCAAAAGCAGGGGGTGATGCGCCTGACCTCTCTATCGGACTCCATGTCCATGAGGAGCCTGGAAACTTCTGTGGTCAGAGGAGAGGCTCTGTCCTCCTCCGGCTGCTGCCACCTGGGTCATCTCCAACAGGGCCTCGAAACCTGCCAGGGTGTCATTTCTGCATCTGAATCCTGCTGGGATGGGTGTCTGCTGGTCCCTCTGGCTCTGTAGTGTTCAGATCTTTAAGTGACGGTATTTGTAGATGTTTCTCCCCATAGTAGCAGCCTGGCCAGTGGGGAGGGTATTTGATGTTACACAGCCCCCAGAGGAAGCCATACAGGATAAACGTGTCAGCAAACTCCACTCATCAAATTTAGGGCAGTGTGCTGGAGGGCCTGAGAATCAGTGCTGTTCGGAACTGAGACAAGCTAGTGTTTCTGTGTGATTTGGAAAGGGGAACGGGGAAGGAAGCAGAAATGGTGCTCTGCAGCTTTGCCCTGCGAGCAGAGCAATGTGGTGGTGTGGCCACATCGTCACTGTGATTGTGTGCCTAGATCATGTGTCTCTCTCTGTTCACAGGGTCTGGATTAACGGTTGTGTTTTCTTTTGTAACAGGTTGTTTCTCCCAAAGAAGAGAACAAAGCAGCAGGTAATTTCCAATTCTGTTTTTTGGTTTTATATGTCTCCTTATCACAACTTTAAATTCTTAGTCAACATTGTTTCTTTTCAGATTAGATTGGCCTTAAAATTTAACCTTAGAGCCCATCACAAACTTGATCCCATCTGCAAGAAAAAAAGTTCACTGTCTTCTCTGTTTATCCCCTGACTCTCTGATTATATTCTGATAAAAGATATCAATAACAATGTACTGAGTGACATATATAAAATGAAAACATGAATGTAGGAGACCTGTTGCAGTATATTTATTGTGAGATGAGTGAAGTGCACCACAGCAAAGACGCGAGTGAAGGGCCCTGGGTGTCCCTGTCCTGAACACCGGCAGCAGGATGGTGTGGAGAAAGGACTGCGTGGGGGGTGGGGTGTCGCCCAGAGAACCAGCGCTCAGCCAGCCCTGCTGCTTTTGCATGCTAGGCCTCTTTCAGGCTCCTTTTGTAGCAGAGCCCAAAGTTGGTTCATTTGTGTTTGTGTTGGAAGCAAACAGAAAGAGTGAGCAAAATCTGAAAGATGGCAGAAGAGAAAATGAGAAGTGTGTGTTTGTGTCATTGGCCCTGCTGTACTGAGCTCTTTGGGGGCACAGACCATGTTTACTCGTCTCTGTTTCTCTGTTGCTTAGTTCCACAGTAGGACCGAAGTGAATTATTTATTGAACTGTGGAGATCTTCAAGTTACAGTAAAGCTACATTTTTCTCAGGATCTTTGGGGGGATGATGAGTTCAGTACAGCTAAAAATGTTAGCTCCGAATGAGCAAAACCAGGGTGAGACCCAGAAGAGTGGGAGCGCTCTTGCCACATGGATACCCAGTCGTCCTGAGCTGATGTGCAGAACCTGTCAGAGAGCTGGGACAGCCCGTGGCAACCTGGAGAAGGGCTAGCTCTGAGCGGTAGAGCCTTTAGGTGGAAGGAGGCAGGTGAGCAAAGCAATTGGGAGTGAGTGGAGAGAGGAGTCTCACTGGGACAGGAAGAGCTGGAAGGGCATCGCTTTTGATAGGACTGAAATGTGATTGGAAGCAGATACAGGGCCTACCTACGGAGGAACAGAGATTTTGCATAGGCAGTGGGAGCCATGGGAGGTTTTATAGCCGGAGCATGGCAAAGTCTGAATTCATTTTAGAAAGTTTCCTGGCAGCAGTAATGGCACCTGATGGCTGGGAAAGAGAGGAGCTTGCCAGCATCTGAGTGAGACCTGGTGAGGATAGAGTCAGAGCGGTGGCCATGGTGCCAGGAAGGGGGCAGGGTCAGACACGCCCTGAAGGTGATCTGGACTGGGCGGTGCAGTACATGCAACTAGCTACAGGGGATTATTGACCATGTGGCAGACTCAAATAGCCATGTGCCCTCAGAGCAAAATATACACTAGATTTCTGCGAGTTACTGAGAAAAAAGAATGTAGCCCTGGCCAGTGGCTCGGTTGTTTGGAGCGTCATCCCACAAACCAAAAGGCTATGGGTTCGATTTTCTGTAGGGGTGCGTACGGGAGGCAACCGATCTATGTTTCTCTCTCACATCAATATTTCTCTCAAAAAGAAAAAAGTAAAAAGAATGTAAAATTATCTTCATTTTTATGTTGATTATACATTGAAATGTCAGGTTAAATATTAAAAATACTTTTACTCTTCTAAACATGGCTACTAGAAAACTTAAAATTACATGTGTGGCTATTTTTAAATTTGTGTTGGAGAACTTGAGCTGGCTGGCTGCAGGAGGGCGGCGGGAGGCAGCGCCTGCGGTGAGGGTGCCGCTTGCGAGACGGAGGAGGAGGTTGCCGCGAGGTGCTGGCGGCTGGGTCTAGGGATGAGGCTCGAGTCACGGCCTTGGCTTTGGAGGATAGAGAGGAGATGGAGGATAGAGAGGAGATAGAGGCGTTGATCCGTCCCCCTGGAGAGAGGGTATTTGGCCTCCGAGGAAGGTGATGTAGAGAGAGGTGTCCCCTGACACCTTGAATCCGGCCTGTGCTGGAAGCAGAGGAGACCAGGAAAGGGGTCAGCAGCGCCAGGGCAGGGGCAGCTGTGCTGTGCAAGCCCAGATAAAGGGAGTTTCGGAAGAAAGGGCCAAAACACACAAACAAAAAGATGGAGTTCTTTTTTAGTCCTGTGTGCACACTCTACCTATGTAAACAGAAGCTCTTGGACTTGGTGTGGCCTGTCTGGGTGATAGCATCGTCACTGTGGGTGCTGGTCACGTGCAGGGCTGACCCTGAAGGGCGGGCTACTTCTCAACAAGTAGCCCCAACGTCTCAGCGTTAAGGTCACTCACCTCCAGTTCTCTGCTGGTGCCCGTTAGCGTGCCTCTTGTCGGGCCGCCAACTGAGCCAGTGTTGGTGAGAGAAGTAAACTGGAGATGCACCTAAATAAGAGTGAAAAGGTGACAGTTCCCTGGGAGCTCTCGGGCCTTTGTCTGTGTTGTGTGTGGCAGTGGGCACTCCAGCAGGTCACAGCCAGGCGTGAGGTGTTTCTCCGCTGCCTTCAGGTCTTCGCGAGGTCTTCATTATGGAAAGGGGGATATAGGGTTAGTTTTCTTTTTGGGGGGATAGGAGGGTGGAGAGCAAAGGATTGTATTTGTTTTGTTCTTTTGCACGGATTATACATAAGGATTTATTTTATTGTTTTTTAAAGATTTTTTTAAGCTGATTTTTAAAGAGAGAGGGAGAAACATCGATGTGAAACATTCATCGGCTACCTCCTGCCCACCCCCTACCAGGGATTGAGCTCGAAACCTGGGCATGTGCCCAGACCAGGAGTTGAACTGGCAGCCCTTCAGTTCATGGGGTGACGCCCAATCAACTGAGCCACACCAGCCAGGGCTTGATGTAGCTGAGGCAGACATTCCTCAAGTTCCCTTAAAACTTTGTTCTTATCTGTTCTTTTCTCCAAAGAAATTCCTGAACGGTCCGTTTTGTTTTTGCTGTGACATGTTTATTCACATGAAGAGGTACGAGTGCTTCTGAACCTATTTTTTCTTTGTAGAACCACCACCACCTAAAATCCCCAAAACTGAGACCACTCACCCTCCATTGCCTCCGGCCCACCCGCCGCCAGGTCAGTGCCTGACTAGAGCCGAGGGGGGCCTGCTTTCCCCGTCTTTCTGGGGGGCAGGCTTGGGGAGCCCTGGGGCAGTTTATGGCAGGGAGACTTGGTAGCCGGAATGTTAAGGCAGTAGTGACCAAGGAGCTTATAAGACTTTCTCACAAACCAGGTATTTTGAGGATGTTGTAAATTCTAAGTATATGTGAATGAATGGTCATATACAGAAATACATACAGAACTACCCAGGAAAAGTGGGTTTAGAGTCAATTTTAGGAAAACAGCCCTGCCAGTGTGTAAACATCTGTCCGCATCTGGGCAGGACGCTGTAATGGGGTAGGGCGTTGGGGGTCTGAGTGGAGCTCCTGCCCCTGGAACTATGGGAGGCAGCCCAGGGCTGGGCACTGACTCATCTCTCTGCTGCAGACCGGAAGCCGCCCCTCTCGGCTGCCTTAGGCGAGGCTGAACCGCCAGGCCCTGTGGATGCCAGTGACCTCCCCAAAGTCCAGATTCCTCCTCCAGCCCACCCGGCCCCTGTGCACCAGCCACCACCGTTGCCACACCGGCCACCACCACCACCACCCTCGAGCTACATAACCGGGATGTCCACCACCAGCTCGTACATGTCTGGAGAGGGCTACCAGAGCCTGCAGTCCATGATGAAGACCGAGGGCCCCTCCTACAGCACCCTGCCCCCGGCCTACGGCCCCCCAGCTCACCTGCCCTACCACCCCCACGTCTATCCCCCGAACCCACCCCCACCACCAGTGCCCCCTCCCCCAGCCTCCTTCCCCCCACCCGCCATCCCACCCCCCACTCCTGGCTACCCTCCACCTCCACCCACCTACAACCCCAACTTCCCTCCTCCACCCCCACGCCTGCCCCCAACCCACGCCGTCCCACCTCACCCTCCTCCAGGCCTGGGCCTGCCCCCAGCTAGCTATCCACCTCCATCTGTCCCCCCTGGAGGACAGCCACCTGTACCCCCACCCATCCCCCCACCTGGCATGCCTCCAGTCGGGGGGCTGGGGCGCGCAGCCTGGATGAGATAACCTGACGCCTTTCTCCCCCCTTTGTTGTTTTAACAAAAGTTTTTTAACGAACTTGAAGAGTAGTTGAAGTGAGTAAGGAGCAGGGTCCCTTGTGTGATGCTAGACAGTTGCAGGATGGGAAGACGGAGCAGGCCCGTGAGCTGAGACAGGCGGGCCCCGGACCCGATGGGGCACGCCCACTGCCGCCTGCGTGCAGGTGTCAGCCGAGCGCACGCGGCCTGGGTGACTGTGTACTAGTGAAAATCTTAACCAGCCACATTGGCTCAAGAGTAGCTTTCATAAGGAGTGAACTTCCTCAGTGCCTACTTTTCCTGGACACCCAGTTTTACCTAGTCCGGTCCCCCCAAGTCAGGCTGTCAGCGTCACTTCCATTCTGTGTTCTCCCAACACCCAGAAGAACCACTTTTTTGATTTAGAGAGATTTACATCTTTGTATTAAAGTTATTTTGAAGGGGTTGCCTGGTTGGATGGCTTGTCTTTCTTTCTCCTCCAGGAAGAAGGGAGGATTGTACTTGGAAAGTAATGTATGTTTACATCGATCTGCAAATTCCTGTACAGAGATATATTTTTTAAGTGTGAATGTAACAACGTACTGTGAATTCCATCTTGGTTACTAACGAGACTCCAGTCAGTTGTCCAAATAAAGCAGTTCTGAGACTTGTCTGTCCTGGTGGGCTTGGAGCCTGCAGCAGCCCCTGGGCATGACCCCCTCTGGCCACCAGGCTCCACCCACGCCTCCTGGCAGTGCCCTCATGGCCAGCCTCTAATCCAGCGTGGAGCTGCTGCATGTACCTGCATGGACGGGTGCCCAGGTTAGATGGTTTGAGTCAGAAATCCTCCCGTTTCTGGCCTGTGACCAGGCAGAGGCCCCTGGAGGAGCAGTCCGTGGTCTGCACCACCCACACGGGCGGCTGCGTGGCCTGGCTGCAACCCCCAACTGAAGTGCTTCCAGGGACCCAGCACCCCACCAGCCGAGACAAACAGGCACTGCGCACCCGCCGCGGAGGCTTGCAAAGAGCCTTTATTTATCTAGCGCAAAGTATACACTGTCACAGTCTGTTACCGTTACTAAAATAGTTCAATGTTTTTACCACACTATCAAAAAGTTCTATTTTCTTTTTCTCTCCCCAAATCAAAGTGGTTCAATAGAAGGTAGAAACGGGCCCAAGCCCGGAGAGGCTGGTCCAATTCTCAGGAGGTCATGTCCTACAGAACAGAGCGGGGCTGCAACCCGGGGACGGGAACCAGACGTTCCGGCCCATTCCTGACAGCAGCACAGAGCCTTCCCACGTTATGAAAAATAGACACCTCTACCGCTCTGCAGCCATGCATTGTTAAAAAAATTCAGTAGTATTTCGTTTCCTCTCAAGTTTTCCCGAAAAAAAAATGAAAGGTCACTTTCTCTCTTTAAACACTGATGTGTAGCTAATAACTTCAGGATAAAAATGCACCACCCTAAAACATGTGCTCAGCAGACTGCGACCCAGGGTGGGCCTGGCCCCTGGGGGCGAGGCTGAGGGCGGTCCCCATCACAGTGGGCACTAAAGCCACAGTGCAGCATCACCCGTGCTCCAGGACCTGGACGTGGGGATTTGGGAAGGAAAAGGGGCCTCGAAAGGACACCAGTCAGCAACACCCCACCCCACGGAGGTTTTAGAGCTAAGGCTCCAGAGGGGTGTCCAGTGTCACCCTACACACTCCGTTAGTGGCCGAGCTGGGACTCCCCTGAGCTGCCCCCTGTGCTGAGGCCCCGGTGGGCCCCCCGGCCTGTGAGCTCCCCCTGCACCTGCAAACCCAGTGGGGGGTCAGGCAGAGCTGCTGCTGGCTTTTTTAAAACAGCTTATGTGATCAAGATGACTGTCACAGGTAAGTTCTGTCCTGGAAAGCCATCCCATGCCGTGTTGACTCGGACGCAGGCAGGGGCAGGAAGGTCTGCGCCCGGCTCGATCTGCCTCTACGGAAGGTGGAGGGTTCTGCAGTTTCGGGACAGGGTCACTTCCCTCCAGGAGGAGCGGCCCTTCCTGGGGGTCAGTGCAGGATCTGCAGACACCAGGACGCCTTCCTTATTGCTTAATTAAGTCATGGCAAATGGGCTCCCAGACACGGCTCCCACCAAAAAGGATCTTCCCCCCACTCAGCTACTTGTGGTTCTTTGGCCTCCAAGATCAGAGGGCAACCTCTGACCCCAGCTCACTGCCCACTTGGGTAGGAGTCATCACCCCACTCCAAGTGCACACCCCCAGTGACGGAGCTCCCACTGGCCTGATGGCAAATTCCTTCCAGAATTTGCTCGCTGCAATGCCCAGGGCAGCACGCACTGGGCACCCCCTGGACACCAGGAGGGCCACGAGGCTTTCTCCTGAGTGTATGGCCCAAGGGCGCCAATGGCAAATCGACAGTGGGAACTGCCGTCCTGGTCCCGTCCCTCCCGTGGGCCCAGGCAAGTCCTGATGCAAGAGGACCCCTTGGGCTCTTCAAGCGCAGGCTGCGCGAGGCCACGGGAAGTCCAGCGGGGGCGCCAGGGCCCTCCGGCAGCACTGACGGGGCCTGTCCCTGCCTGCCTTCCAGGTTCTGGGATCGCACCTGTAACCTATCACCTACCTGCTCTGGGCCTCGTTCTCCTCCACAGGAATGTGGAAATTTACATCTGCACGTGGTCATTCACACTGACGGTCTCGTGATCCCCAGAGCCCTGCGAGGAGGCCCTCAAGCTCACATCCCCCCAGACACACTGAGGCTCAGAGGGAGGGGCTGTCCGCCAGATGGGGCAGAACTCGGCCCCCAGCGGCCTCTCCAGCAGGTGACCCCATTAGCTCACAGGCTGACTGCGGCCAATGGCCTCTAGCTGTGAGCACAGCTAAGAACCTCTGAGACCTCACTTTGCACCGGGGGCCTAGAGAGGCCGAGTGACTTGCTGAAGGTCACAAGCAAATTCAAGCCAGAGCCAGGTCAGACTCCTAAGGAGAGCAAAACCTGTCTCTGCGGCCATGCAGCTCTGTCCACAGCGACCGAAGGTGGGGCAGGCTCCAGGGGCCACCACGGCAGACCAGAGGCCCGGCCGTGACTCGGTGCTGCCACCCGGAGAGGGACATGTGCATCTGAGCCTGGGGACTCTGCGCTCCGCCTTCCTTTGCTCCAGGCCGTCATGCGAACCATGGAAACAGATGCCTCGGACATTGGGCAGGAGGGTCCGGAAAAGACAGGGCACACCTGGCACAGGGCAGGGTGACACTGCGGGGGGGGGGGGGACTCTAAAAACAAGCGGCAGCTGGCAGTGGTGGGCTGAGCATGGGCAAGAGGAGGACCTCGGGGGCTCCCGTCCATGGCTCATGGGACCCTGCGCCTGGGGAGCCAGCGTCAGGTCCCAGCAGGCGGCTGAAAAGCGGTGCCCCTGCACCACGTCCAGCTGCCAGTGGCCTTTGTCCAGTGCGATGGCAGCCAGGGGACGGGGCTTGATGAGGTGTTGGGCACAGCCTGGCACGGCCCCAGGTCAGGCATCACAGGGCAGCTTTCCGTTCTTGTCCAGGGAGCCGGAGCCTGAGCCCGGGCCGAGCGGGAAGGAGGCTGTCCGGGCGCCTCGTCTTCCCAGTTTGCTGGTGTGGGAGGTGAGGGGATGGAGGCCGGCCAGCAGTGGGTCGCACCCATGCAGCCAAGCCACAGTGGGCAGCATCCTATGTACAATTCATCACAGAAGAAGAAGACGGTGGCTCAGCTGAAGTCCTGCCGCTGCCCGTGGGGACCCCGAGCAGGGACAGTCTGTCCACAGAGGAAAGGCCCTACAAAGGCCCCTTGAACTGGTTCCCAGACAGGTGCTGCCGGATGGAGGGCTTGGAGCTGGCGGCGTCTCCCAGTTTCCTCCAGACCACCTGTGTAGAGAGGCCAGGTGTGAGCGCAGGTCCCACCCTGGCCGCCAGCTGGCCTGTGCACACGGGGACAGCAGGCCCAGAGGAGGCCCAGACACTCAGACCAGGCCCTTGCACATCCGTCCTCATGGCCACACCTGCCACCCTGAGCAGGTCACCCCTGGGGTGTGAGCTCAGCCTCGCAGCTGTCCAGTGGGGCCCATGGACTCAAAAGGCAGCATAGGAGGGGGGTTCAGAACACCCCTCCCCACAGGAGACCCTGGTTCAGCCCCTGTGAACCACCCTTCCCCACCGGTCCCCGCAAGGATCCAGAAAGGACACGTGTCAGCAAGGTGGGTCAGGGTGAGGCACCCCCTCCTAGGCAGACCCTGCAAGCCCACAGCGGGTGCTTCCTGCACCTGTCTAAGCACAACCTGTGTGGCAGCAGTCACCAGGCCACCACCCGGCTCAGGCCAGGAGCCAGACACCTGGGACCAGGTCTGAGGGTCGGGACACACGGCACAAACAAGACCAGTCCTGGGGGCCAGAGGCACATTCCCGGGATGGACAGACCCACTGAGAGCAGGGACCTGATTCTCGAGGTTGGGGAGTGAGGACAGGCCGGGGCTCCAGGACCCTTCCTCCCAGCCCGCCAGGTCACCATCCTGTCCCCACGGGAAGGCTGTGCCCACAGCCCAGTGCCAGGCCAGGACCCCACGCAGGCCTGGGAAGCGCCTCACGTTGCACATCTCGCGGACGATGGCCTTCTCCTTCTCGCTCAGGTCCTCCTCGCAGCTGTCCTGGAGCTGCCGGTCCAGGCTCTCGTGCACCTCGAGGACCTGCAGGGAACGGGGCCCAGGTCCGGGGTGTGGAGAGACCTGAGGGGCAGGTCATCCCTCCTCACTTTGTGTTTTCTCCCCCTCACCCCAGTGACACTGTACACACCACCCAAGGGAAGCAGCACCCGCATGTCACTGAGGGCAGAGCTGAGGGCGGTCACCTGGGAGCAGAGGCCACCCTTGGACAGGTGGACTCACTCGACACAAGGCCCAGCTTGTGATTAACAAGCAGGAGGACCGAGGACAGCACCCATCCGTGCACGCGGGGTGCGTGCATGCAGCGGCCACAGGGCTCGTGCAGGGGGATGTGCCCCCGAGACAGGCTTCTTCAAGGACCTGCGCCTGGGGGCCCTGAGCAGGGAGGCAGCTGCGCCTGGAGGAGCAGCTGGGCCTGGGAGGCCTGGGCTGTAGTCCTACCTCCCCCAGTCCTGCCACGACTCTAACCTCAGTGGGCATGCCTGCCCTGCCCCACCCCAGCCTCGGCTTCCCTAGCTGCAGAGATGGCAGACAGGTAACACTTGCTGCGGCACCCGGCATCTGAGTCTCCCCCACAGAGTTCCAGGCAGTCACAGCCACCCAGTCCCCACCCTGCTGCTCAGACACCCCCAAAGAGGTCCATGTGGCGTTCAAGGTCCCACATCCTGCAATGCACCAGGGACTGGGCTCCTGAGGGAGCAGGCCCTGGGGGCGGGCAGGCGGGCCCGGGGGTGGGCGGGCGGGCAGGCGGGCAGGGCCTGGCACTCACCTTCATTGCATGCACGACAGCCTCGGGCTTCTGTCCTGCAGGGCTGTAGCCGGCAGAGGGGGGCGAGGACAGTTCGGGCACCTGGCAGGGTGGGCCCTGTGGGAGGGAGTCATGAGGCTTAGCTCCTGAACAGACCCAGGTGGTGGCCACAGGTGTGACCTGCACTGCGTGAGGTCCCTGAAACTGGGGCCAGGGACCAGGCAGGAGGAAATGGGGGTGGGTGATGGGGAGAGGTGGCAGGTGTGAGGACCAGGCCAGGCCGAGGGGCAGCACCTGAACCCCACCACGCCCCCAGGCCCCTCCATACGGAACACAAGGAGGGTCTATTATCCACTGTGCAAGGAAAGCAAGTGCCGCCCAGAGAGGGCAGACTCACAAGGTCACTGCAATCCCTAGGTGTCCTGACGCCAGAACCCCCTCTCCCTCAGCTGCCCAGTGGGTGACTCACCTTGACTCCACCCCCACACCCCAGTCCTGAGTCCTGCCCCCTGGCCACCTGATTCAGGAAACACCCCAACTGGCGATCAGTCCTCTCGCTCCCGTACCAGCCCGGGAAGGGCAGGGGACGCGCCAGGTGAGGAGGGCATCCAGCCTCCCAGGACCCGCCCACCTGCAGCAGAGGCCGAGTGTCTGCCCAGGCCTCCCCAGCTTCTCCCCACAAAGGTCAGTGGCCCAGGTGGCTGGGGTGCAGGGTGCAGGGTGCAGGGCTTCAGCCTCAGGCTGTAAGGAGGACCCTGCATTCAGGGCCCCACAGAAGAAGCTCACACAAGGAGCCTCAAGGACGGAGCCCTCGGGGCCACTAGGAACGAGGTGCTCAGAGACGCTGGGAGTGGACCTGAGGGGGAACCAGGCAGAAAACACCAAGAACGCCCCGGCGAGCATGTGAGCCGGGGAGCAGGGAGAAGACCTCTAAGCTGGGGGTCAGAGGCCCCGACCTTCTCTGAGTCTTGGGCAGCCAGCCAACGCGGGACGCCACCCAGGGAGTGTGCCCACCCAGGGCCCAGACCTCCGGCCCAGCGGTCAGCCCCTGCACTGTCCCCACCTGTGTGCCAGCCCACCCGCTCCGACGGCCTCACAGGCCCCTCCTACGGGCTCCAAGGAGGCAGGGCCCACAGCCTTGGGTCCTGGGGGAAGCTGGGCTCGGGTGAGGCTCTGCTGCCTGTGACTAGAGGCAGGGCCTGACCCACTCTGTGCCTCCGTTTCCTCATCTGGACAACAAAAAGGGTCCCTGTGTCCCAGAGTGTGTGGAGCCCTGGGACGCTGCCCAACAGCTGGTTCCCTGGTGCCAGCCCAGGCCAGGTCTGTCATGTGCGGGAACCAAAAAAGATCCGGAAGCTCTTGGGAGGTTGGGGGCAGGTGGGAGGCAGGCCACACACAGGTGAGTGACCTGAGGCAGAAGGCTGCACTCCCCACCACCGGCCAGGAGGGGGCGACAACCACACATGTACAGTCAGGCGCCTGGCCCTTGGCGCCTCTGCCCTCCAGTCCTGTAGGTACTTGGGCTCCCTGAACTGCCTGGTCTGTAAGGGGGCTGATTCCGGGAACAAAGGCAGGAGGGAAGCCAAGCGTGGCCGGGAAGGCTGTGCAACACAGCCCTTTCCTGGCCGACGTCACTCGGCGGCCAGAGCATGGACAGGGGACCCAGTAAATGAAGTCACCGTTAGACAAATACTATGTACAAATATGCAGTCAGGACTTTCCCCAAACAGCTCTCCCACAAGGCCACCCGTGGTGGGGGGAACCACAGATTGGAGAGCTCAGGACACCCCACTTCCTCCGCCCACTGAGTTCTTACTACAACCCTCTGGGCAGACACTAGATTATACAGCCCCCCGAGGCTGAATAACTTGCTAGTAATCAAGGGGGGCTGGGCACAAACCCAGGTCTGAGGGACTCCAGAGCTGGGGCCAAAAGAGAAGAGGCCAGTGTCTGCCCAGGAGCCCCGAAAACCTGTGTGCCCACAGCAGCACACCCACAACAGGCAGGAATCGGAAGAAGCCAAACATGTAGCAAATAGGAAACGAACAAACAAAGCGTACACCCACACAACACTGTCACTCAACGTCGGAAAGACGGCAGGACTCAGACATGCTAGGGCGGGTGGGGCTCAGTGAAAGATGCCAGTCGCAAAGGATCGGCCGTGTTTTATGACTCTACTTACACGCCGTGTCCAGAACAGGCAAATCTACAGGGACAGAAAGTCCATGAGCGGTTGCCAGGGGGTGGAGGAGGGGGCGATGGGCGGGTTGCTAAGGGGTGTTGTTTGGTGGCAGGGCAGCAGTGATGCAAATGCTCTCTTGTAATGACTGCACCACCTGTGGACATACTAACAACCACGCAACAGTGTGCTTAAAAACACAGTCCACTGCCCGGGCCGGTTTGGCTCAGCGGTTAGAGCATCTGCCTGTGGACCAGAGACCCGGGTTCGGTTCCCACTAAGGGCACGTGCCTGGGTTGTAGTTTGTCCCCAGCCCCAGTTGGGGCCGTGTGGGTGGCAACCACTCGATGTGTCTCGCTCATGTCGATGTTTCTCTTTCTCTCTTCCTCCCTCTCTCCCTCCTGCTTTATCTGAAGATAAATGCAAGTGCCCTCAGGTGAGGATGAAAAAAGAAAAAAAAAAATACAGTCCTCTGACCAAAATAAGTGGGGAGACCAGCTTCCCAGGGGGCTGTCAAAAGCCCCGATCCTCCTTTCAGGAGGTTGATGAGGGCTAACCTACCCCCTCCGCAGACAGCTCCTTCCCTGGGGTCTTGAGTCTGGGATACAGCCCAGTCCCCTCTGCAGCCTGAGGCAGAAGCCCTGCCCCCCGCCCCATGGCCACCTGGGCCAGTGACCCTTGTGGGGGAGAAGCTGGGGAGGCCCTGGGCAGACACTTGGCCTCTGACACAGGCAGGGAAGGGTGTGAGAAGGGGGTGGGACTGGGGGGTAGCACTAGCCATGCGACCCTGGCAATCCACCCCACCCCCACGGGCCCAGCTCCCTCTGTGCACACATCAAAGGCCTGGCATTCGGCCAGCCAGGGCTCAGCACTTATCGGTGGCAGATCACGGACAGGACTCAGGACAGGGCTCTCCATCACTGTCAGCAGGGAGGGGGCAGGGAGTGTGAAGGGTGAAGGCGCCACCGCGTGGCTGCCATGGGGTTTCCAGGGCCCTTCCTCGACCCTGGTTCAGTCCGTCTCCAGGGTAAGTCTCTGCTGTCACTGCCTCGCAGGGGCCTTGCCGGCTGCACAGCGTCGGCAGCTGCATTCTAGGCCGAGGCCCAGGCCTCCAAAGAGGAGCAGACGGCCCTCCAGCAGCCGCACCAGGCCTGCCGCTCACTCGGGGCGCTCCTCCTGCGGGAGGGGTGCAGGGGACGCCGGGGAGAGCCCAGGCTCACGCGGCACCTTGCAGAGTGACAGGCGGGCCCGGACGGTCAGGGGCGCTGCCCTGCTGGGCCTGTGTGCGCGGCGAGCCCCTGCAGGGCACAGCACGCAGCGGACACGCTGAACGCTGGTCGTTTTGGCTCCGGTCATCTCGGAGCGCGGGCGGGGACGTGCGTCTTGATTTTCAGCATGTCCACAGATTTGTGCGCTCCCCGCAAGGGAGAATCTCCATCATCCCAAAGAGAAACCCGCATCCCCTAGCACCCCATTTCACCCTCCTCCCAGCCCCTGGCCACCATGCATGTGCCCTCTGCCCCTAGACACCCGTGTGGGGTCCCGGGATGTCACGGTTCTGACAGACACGTCTACCCCCAGGGCAGCAGTCCCCATCCCAGAGAGCTGGCCCATGCCGCGCCCCTTTCCCGTCAGGACAGGTCAGAGCCCGGATGACCCTGGGGGCCCTGTGGGTAACTGAAGTCCACAGTCCACACACCCACCCATCAGAGCCAGGGGTAGCGCCCTACATACACACCCCCAACCCCAAGCACCTGCCCGCATCCTCTCCCCGCCATGTCCAAGGGGTGACACAGGCCACCGAGTTGCACAACAGGATAGCGGCTGGGCCTGGGCTACCCTTGTGGCCCCCAGACACTGCCCGGTGCTGCCACAACGTCACCCCAAGTCGGGCCCCCACCTCTAACCACCACACTGGGCCCTCCCAAAGCTGGAAGGGCCCAGGAGCCAGGCCCCTGCTGGGAAGAGGCAGAGTGAGGAAGGCCATGCGTCCACCTGCTGCTGTCCCGACCCAGCCCGGCTGCACTGCCCACGGCCCAGCAGGCACTAGTCGGTCTGAGCCTCACCCTCCACTGGAATTCAGACCCAGGTTCTGGAGGTGCCAGGTCCACAGGGGTCAGTGGAGCTCTGGGGGAGGGGCACTTACGTTCTGCAGGGTGTCCTGGTAGGAGGGGGGCAGGCTGGCGAGCTGGGACTCCGAGTGGTACGGGGAAAAGCCTTTCCGGAGCGTCCGGTACTCTCCGGAGCCTGCCTGCTGCAGGGCAGAGCGGAGAGCAGTTAGATGTGAGGAGCTGGGCAGCAGGGGCCGAGGACTGTGCCCACTGGGACTCGCTGGGGCCCCTGGAGCCGAGGGCTGTGCCCACCGGGACTCACTGGGGACCCTGGAGCCGAGGGCTGTGCCCACCGGGACTCGCCGGGGACCCTGGAGCCGAGGGCTGTGCCCACCAGGACTCGCCGGAGCCCCTGGAGCCGAGGGCTGTGCCCACCGGGACTTGCTGGGGCCGCTGGAGCAGCTCCTCCTCAAGGCTCTGGTCTGCTCTGGGCACCTGCCTGGGGGCCCCCCCTTGCACCTCCCCACCACCCTGCTATAGTCCTTTATATCCCATCCATGCAGCAGCTTTGGTTTGCTCCCCACCGTGTGCCGCTCCCACCCTGTGCCTCTCCCCATTGTGGGGGCACAGCTCTCCTACCCCTCCACCTTTGTTCCTCTGCTCCAGCATCCCACACCTGGGTTCCCCACACCCCCTGGCGCCCCATCTCCAGCCGCTGGGGTCCACAGCCACAGCCAAGTCCTGCCTCCCACCGGTGCTGGGCTCACTCCAGGGGGAGCCCTTCACCATGCTCTGCTCAGGGTGCCCATCAACCTCCACCACCGGGCAGGAGCTCCCCAACACAGGCCCTAGGTCTGACCTCACCCACCGGAACCAGTGTGTGCCTAGGAGGGAGGGGTGAACGAGTGTGTGAGGAATGAATGAATGCGTGAACACACGCATTTGGCCTTTTGTAGTTTCTTTCAGGGCAAAGCAGCCCGTCCCCGCAGGGCTGAGGACTGGGACCCAGAGAGGGAGAGGACCCAGGGGCCACGCTCAGTCCCACGCAGGCCCCTGGTCGCTGACCAGAAGCCACGCAGCATTTCTGACCCAAGCACCCTTTTCTACTTCAAAGGAACTGAGGGACCTCTGTTGGGCAGATAATAGGCAAGGAAGAATGTCCCATAAATCAGCAGGCTGCTGAGTTACCCAAACAAACCCTGGAGAGGCAGAGGTTGGCCAGGGCTGGGGCAGGGGCCAGATGAGCAGGACAGGGCACAGCAGCCACACAGGGGGCCCCTCCTCCTCATCACCCTCTCACGGTAGCCCCCAAAACATGGCAGGGTCTCACCAGGGAGAGCTTGGTTGGGCACAGCCCTCGATCTTAATATGGGGCTGTCGTGCCCCTGACCACGGCCCTGCGTGAGTTAACCAGAGGCACCAGAGCCTGCCCCGGCCTTCTGCACATGAGGTCTGATGGCTCTGGGCTGTCTCACGGCCTCCCGGCTTCTCTGGCTCTGGACCAAATGGGTTCTGAAGCAACCACGTGTTGTTACTCAGAACACTGGTTTGTGTCTCCTCCCTCCTCCCAGACAGTTTCTCTGGGAGGACGTGTGTGCACCGGGTGGGGGAGTTTTTTAATAAGCAGCATGCAACTCCCAGCCCTGCCTGTAGTGATCATCTATAAATATTTGCACGTCCACAAAACTTTATTAGCAAGCCTCGACGCTGGTGGGGAAAGGCTCAATCTCTCATTAGGGGCAATGTGACTAATGACGCATCGAAATGAAGAACCGTGATTGCACTTAAATCCAAATTAAAATCCTGGTGTTTGCCTGCCAGTGCCCTGGAAGGAAGAAATCCCCAGGTTTTCATCGCTGAGAGGAAGGGAGCTGAAACGGCCTTCAGGGCAGCTGGGCCTGCACCTCATGGGACGGGGCACAGCCCCCCCAGAGGAGGATGCCCGCCAGCCTGCAGTCCTCCCGCCCCCGCGCTCCGTCCTCCTCCCGCCCCCGCGCTCCGTCCTCCTCCAGCCCCCGCGCTCCGTCCTCCCGCCCCCCTACCTCCTCCCGGCACCCGCGCTCAGTCCTCCCGCCCCCCCTCCCTCCTCCCGGCACCCGTGCTCCGTCCTCCCGCCCCCCCCGCGCTCCCTCCTCCAGCCCCCCCCCGCGCTCCCTCCTCCAGCCCCCGCGCTCCGTCCTCCCGCCCCCCTCCCTCCTCCCGGCCCCCGTGCTCCGTCCTCCCGCCCCCCCCGCGCTCCCTCCTCCAGCCCCCCCCCCCGCGCTCCCTCCTCCAGCCCCCGCGCTCCGTCCTCCCGCCCCCCCTCCCTCCTCCCGGCACCCGTGCTCCGTCCTCCCGCCCCCCACCGCGCTCCCTCCGCCAGCCCCCCACCGCGCTCCCTCCTCCAGCCCCCGCGCTCCGTCCTCCCGCCCCCCTCCCTCCTCCCGGCCCCCGTGCTCCGTCCTCCCGCCCCCCCTCCCTCCTCCCGGCACCGCGCTCCGTCCTCCCGCCCCCCCCCCGCGCTCCCTCCGCCAGCCCCCCCCCCGCGCTCCCTCCGCCAGCCCCCCCCCGCGCTCCCTCCTCCAGCCCCCGCGCTCCCTCCTCCCGCCACCCTCCCTCCTCCCGGCCCCCGCGCTCCGTCCTCCCGCCACCCTCCCTCCTCCCGGCCCCCGCGCTCCGTCCTCCCGCCACCCTCCCTCCTCCCGGCCCCCGCGCTCCGTCCTCCCGCCACCCTCCCTCCTCCCGGCCCCCGCGCTCCGTCCTCCGACCCCCCCTCTCCCTCCTCCCGGCCCCCGCGCTCCGTCCTCCTGCCCCCGAGCTCCCTCCTCCTGGCCCAGGCGCTCCGTCCTCCTGCCCCCCTCTCCCTCCTCCCGCCCCCCCTCCCTCCTCCCCCCTCCCTCCTCCCCCCTCCCTCCTCCTCCCCCGCGCTCCCTCCTCCCGGCCCCCGTGCTCCGTCCTCCCGCCCCCGCGCTCCCTCCTCCCGGCCCCTGCGCTCCGTCCTCCGGCCCCCGCGCTCCATCCTCCCGCCCCGCCCCCCCCGCTCCATCCTCCCAGCCCCCGCGCTCCATCCTCCCGCCCCGTCCCCCCCTCCATCCTCCCAGCCCCCGCGCTCCGTCCTCCTAGTGTCTGTAGTCCTCCTAGCGTGCAGAGGGGCCCTGACACCACAGCAGGAGCTTAACAGGATTTCCTGAATCCTTAAAAGGCTGTAAACACAGCACTGCCCACCCACCCCACCCAGTGACCGGGAGGGAGACCCAGGAGGCTGCACTCAGTCCACGCCTAAGGACACGCGCCACCACCCTGGCCACATGGGGCTCCTTGTTTGGGGATCCGGCAGCTGTGGGCAGACCCCATTTTGGGGTTCACTCGGGCAGATACTCTCCCCCCTCCTCCCTGCCCCTGGGACCATCTGCTACAGCGGATTTGTGATCAGAAGCACCTGCCATGTGCTCCCCAGAAGGGTGGAGCACCTGACTGCGGGGGAGCCCCGGGGTGAGCTCAGACACAGGGGTGCCCACTCCCACCAGCAGCCTGCCGAAAGGGGACCGCCTAGAACACCAGACCCAGGACCCTGGGCCAACCTGCAGTGACAAGTGGCAGGACCCCCAGAGGGGCCATCGCAAGTGACTCTGGACTGGTCCCGCAACCTGCTGGCCCTCCTGCTGCAGGGAGGTGGGTGCAGACTGGGCTCCAGTGACACTTGCCAGCCCTGCTTTCCGAACACTAACACCCACCTGGCTGGCAGGAGGCAGCAGGCTCAGCGCAGTGGGAGCCCAGCACAGGGCCCCGCGGACCTTGCTCAGGGACCTGGGCCAGCTGGGAGCCACCACTAACTCGCGCAGCCTTGGCCAACCCCTCCTCCCACCTTGCACTCAGGGTTCTCACTGCAGAGTGGGGATGACACTGACTAGTCCTGCGACCTCACGAGCGGGTGGGTCCAGTGGAAGTGGGGGAGAAGGGCCTGCATGGAGCAGCTCCCCTGAGGGGCAGGAGGGGACCAAAGGGGGAGGGCCCAGCACCACACAGCACAGCACTCAAAGCAGCCCCGCCCACCCAAACACCACAGCACACAGGTCCCTCCAGGCAGCTCTACCTGCAGCCAGCTCCTCCGGTGGGCTTGAGGGCGGGGGTGCTGGAAGGGAAGAGCGGGGTCACTCAGCACACGCCCCACCCCTCACCTCTGTGCCCTACCCTGGACACCCACCAGCCCGAAGCCGCCAGGACCTCAGCTTGGGCAGAGTGGTTTTTCCACACCACGGTCGGAGCCCAGGGCTCCCACAGCATCTCACAGGAGCCCCAGGCATTTAAAACTCCAGATGTACGGAGGACTGGCAGCGTCGGCCACACACCTGGGGCACACCCCTCTGCAGCCTCCCAAGGCTCCCACCAGAACGCATCTGCCCGTGAAGGGGTGCAGGGGCCTGCAGACACCCCCAGGCCCCACCAGCTCAGGGAGGCCAGACTGGGATGCACCCCTTACTGGCCTCATACCCCCTACTAGCCTCGTACACCCTACTGGCCTCGTAACCCCCCTTACTGAGCTCGTACCCCCCCACACTGGGCTCGTACCCCCCCTACTGGCTTTGTACCCCTCTACCAGCCTCGTAACCCCCCCTACTGGCCTCGTAACACCCCCTACTGGGCTCATACCCCCCTACTGGCCTCATACCCCCCTACTGGCCTGGCTCTTTCTCAGGTCACTCACAGGAGGAGCAGATGAGTCCAACCAACCAGACTGACTTTTTTTTGTCTTTAATTTTAAGAGAACTCATTGGCAGGCCATTAAGAACCTGGAGAGGGCTCTTCCTAATAAGTGCTCAGTCAGCAGGGGGCCCACGTGATGGCATCACTACCCGGCTGGTGCTCTCCTGCTCCGCAGCAACGTGGCTCAGTCTCCGAGTGTGTGCCGCCCGGGCCCGAGGCCTGCGGCTGACAGGTAGCATGCGAACAAGGTCTCGTCCATCACCATGACCGCCACCCTCACTAGCCCCTCGCAGGCCAGGCCGCAGGGCCTCCAACTTTCGGGCTCTGTTTGCTTGCACGTAATCAAGAAGGACACGCAGCCCTGGACGGTTTGACTCCACAGTTAGAGCATCGGCCCGTGGACCAGAGAGACCCGGGTTCAATTTCCGCTAAGGGCACGTACCTCAGTTGCAGTTTGTCCCCGGCCCTGGTTGGGGTCGTGTGGGTGGCAGCCACTCGATGTGTCTCTCTCACATCGATG